AAATTCGTATTGGACGATGATTCAATAAAATTAGAAAACTCACCATAAAAACAACAGGAGGGAGAGTGGTAATCATTCCCCGAAATTTGGAAACTGGGTCTCTTTTCCAATCCAGTAGTGTACTAGTATCACGCTCACTCTTGTTGACCATTGCTTTCGCCCCATCTTGAACGCATTGCTCCTCCTCCTCTTCAGGATTCGTCGCCGGATCATTATTATTATTATTAATTGCTCTAAATCGAAACTTTGGATTAATTAATAATCCTCGATTACCTTTCATTTCTGAATAAGACAAGACAAAATCTCTTCTGAATTCCACTACATTCGGAGAAAACCGGTGTTTCGATGCCCATAACGATGACGGCGGCTACATAACATCATCAGATATCAAACATCACCATAGTGTACAGTTTATGTTATAAAAAAAAACAAAATAAAAAGGAGGTGGAAAATCTAGCAGTAAGATTAAAGAACAATAGTCACTAGTCAGTAGTAATTACCTGAATGGAGAAAGAGTGAAATTGCGGAGTCCAAATTGATGTTGTTGTCATCTTCACAGGGGTTTTAGGAGCCTCAACAGTTTCATTTCTTAATCAAATCAGCTTGTATCGTGATGATACCATACCTTACTACAAAATCCAAACTGCCTTTTGGGTTTTCTTCTAAAAACAAGTGCTTCCTGACCCAACACAACAGCCTCACGTTTTTATTCCCTAACTCAGCTTGCTCTGGTTGATCTACTAGTTTAAATTGGTATTGTCGCAAACGCTGTTGCAAGTGGATCCGTGGCGCAATGGTAGCGCGTCTGACTCCAGATCAGAAGGTTGCGTGTTCGATTCACGTCGGGTTCAATCCCCGCTTGATTATTTTTAAGCCGTGGCACTTTCTTTTTTGGAGTTATTTCCATTTATTACATCATCAATGGATTGCTTTTTTTTTCCCCCTCCTTAACCAACCTTTGATGTCTCAATAAATTTTATCAATTTTGTAATTGGGTCCATATTCAGTCTTTATCTTTTTTTTATTTTTTATTATTGGCACATTTTTTTTATATAATTTTAAAAGATGAGGTTATCATGAAAATGTCATCGTTTAAAATTATAAAAAATATCACAAAATGAATAGTGATTTCATGAGCGAATAAATAGTCACAATCTTTATTATTTTAATTTTTTTTATTAAAATGAAAATTAAATGTGAAATAAGTATTTAGATTAAGGACTAATTTGACGGTTTTTTTTACTGATTAGGCTGTTTTATTAATATTTAAAAATGACAGAAAAGGTCAAATCCTAGTATAGAACTTTAATTATGTATAGTTTGTAGTTAGTAAATTCAAATTCGTACATTCCGTTGAAAGGTGCATTCCCCATTAGATATTAAAAAATTAATTAAGTTTGGAGATTGATATAACTTTTTTGCCATAAGAATGAGTAAATTATAAATTAATCCCTTTATTTTTAAGAAATAAATTGTTTTGTTCTTCTTGTTCTAAAATTTAATTATTTAATTCATCAACCAATGCTAATATACATAATTTGATATCATTCTGTTTCATAAAATATCATATTTGATATTTTTTCGTCAATAATTTCATATTTTTTTTTATTTCTTAAAAAAATCAAAATAAATTGAGAATGAGATAAAAGGATTAAGTTACAAAAAAAATTTAAAAATATAAGGATTAATAACTACTTTCTGAAATAAGTTGGAGTAATTAAATCATTTCTTAAAACTAAAAGGACTAATTTATAATTTACTCAAGAAGAATGCATCATGGTTTATTCCGTCACCTTTCTTGACCATATGGTACTACTTCAGCCTTATTTTATTGAACGGCTCCAGGGAAAAGAGAATAAACGGTTCATAAATATATAAAGAAATACTACTTTTACCTTGTAGAATGGCAACTGACACCATCTTTGTTAGGTCAAGACAAGGGGGAGGATGATTGCATTGCTACTTGAAATGAGCTTCTTCTTTACGTGAACATTTATTTAGCAAATATATAATAATATCTTAGAGATTTTTTAATGGCATTTTTTGTTTATAGTTAAGTAGTGGGTTTCTTGACTCTACCATCACCAGAACAATATATTTTAATAATTAAAAATATCTCTTGATCAGTTCAAGTGTCAATTGAGTTTGAGGTTTTTTTTTTTTAAAAAAAAAACAATTTTAAAAATGCATGTTCATGTTGTTCTGGTGCATTCGAATAAATAATTTGTTTTTAATTTTTTTAAGGTATGAATTCAATAAATCAAAAAATAAAAAAGATCTCATCGACCGACGTAATAACCGTAAAAGAGTAAATCACAAATTAGTCTTTTTTATTTTAAAAAAATAAGTTAATTATTTTCCTAATCATATTTAATTATGTTCTTCCGGTGCGTTTGAATGAATGATTTGTTTTAGTTTTTTTAAGGTATGAATTCAATAAATAAAAAAATAAAAAAAATCTCATCGACCGACGTAATAACCATAAAAGAGTAAATCACAAATTAGTCTTTTTTATTTTTAAAAAATAAATTAATTATTTTCTTAATCATATTTAATTATGTTCTTCTGGTGCGTTTGAATAAATAATTTATTTTAATTTTTTTAAGATATGAATTCAATAAATCAAAAAAAAAAAAACGTGGTTGACCGACGTAATATCCTTCAAAGAGTAAATCAAAAATTGATCTTTTTAATTTTTAAAAAATAAATTAATTAATTTATTGATCATGTTTAATTTAATATTATTTTATTTATAAAAAGAAAGTTATCTTTCACGTTAATCCTTTCATTTTATTTTCTTTCAGAGAAGGACAAATTTATAATTTACTCAACCATCAAGAGTTGTTTGATTCGTTCTCGATAAATCCAACCTAATCATTTTTTTCCATTCATGGCATGGCCTACCACGAGCACTTGCAATTTTCTCACCTTCCAGTATAATGGGCTCCTCCTTTGCTTGATGACAAAAATAATATTCTACTTAACCCTTATCTTATCAAGCTCTGGCAGGCGTACATGTCCTGCACTTAATTTTGACGGTTGCTACTTATCGACACCATTATAGATTAAGGATTATTATATCTCTATTAAGACATTAATGTTTCTTTCCAACCTTAGTTTTTGTAAAATATAAAACAAAATTATTCCTCTTTAGAGCTGGAAAAAGTAACTTGACTTGATTATCGAATAAGATGCTAGGCATTGACCAGAAAAAAAAAACAAAAATGACCATAACCAGTCCAAGTCGTCCCTTTGTAAGATTAAAATACAATTATTTAGCGTTTGAGTTCGCAGCTTAGTAGTGAGGTTGAAAGTCACTCATCGATGATATTTGGGTTCGATTTTTTTGTGTATGTACTGTTACACTCGCGATGTCTTACTCGCTCACCTGGGCTTGCGGGGTGTTTAGTGGATCCGAGAGATTAGTCGAGGTGCGCGTAAGCTAATCCGGGCATCCTAGATTATCAAAAAAAAAAAAATAATAATTATTATTTATACCTTTTTTTCCCCTGGTGTTAGCAGAACAGGATACAGAAACTAAAACGCTAAAAAAAAAAAAAGAAGAAGAAGAAGAAGAAGAAGAAAATTCCAGCTGCATCGCGAGGAATAATAGCAGCAAGAGCGAAAATTGGTTCAACCACAGGAATGAAAAATATTCAATTTAAACTGAAAAAATCAATTCGGGTTTGGAATTTTTTATTCGGTTTAAATTAAAAACCAAACTTTTTTTTATTATTGTTTTACTATTTTTTTTTGAATTTTTACAATAAATAAATAAATAAATCAATCAATGTTTTAAAATTATTAGAGATATAGGATGAATTGATGATTTATTTATTTCTAAAAAAATCAGAAAAAATTAAAATAATAATTTAGTTTGAGTTCGGATTTTTATTTTTTAAGATTAATTAAAATCGAATAAAAAAAACTAAATGATGATTTTTATTCAACAAGTCATTCTCTTAGAGTGTAGTGGAAAAAAGCATTTTATTAACATTGGCGTAAACAACAAATATCAATGATGATGATAAAAATGACTAAGCAAGACTCCATTTCTATCGCATGAACTGCTTTCGGAGAGTCGGTCTCCAAAAGTAAAGTGGAATTGCTGGATAACACAGAATTAGTGTACTGATTAATCCTACTACTATAGCAATTGCGATTTAATTGCCGTGATGCTTCTTAGAACCCTTGAAGGGCAAGCATTTGTCAACGCAGAACTAAAGTGGGGGATGTTTAGTGGGTGATGTTTAACATGATAGGTGCCCCTTGCCTACTCGACTCCTCTCCTTTAACATTTGAAGCTCGTCTTTTGTTTTTTATTTTTTATTTTTTTTTACTGATTCTATCTTTTTTTTAATAACCCAGAGAATAGAACGTGCATAAAGACAACTTTTTACTGATTTTATCATTTGAAGCTCAATAGACAGGTAATACACCCCGAGAATGACAAACGTGCATAAAGAGAATAGAACCTAGGTGGTCATGGCACAAATCCTCAGCCGCTAGGTTACGACCTCAAGCGCGCTGTCTGATTCTATCCTCAACCTTCGAGTCTAAACCAGAGGAATATCGTAACTATTGCCTTCAGCTCCAATACATTAAAAAAAATAAAAATTATTATTACTTTTTTATGTATAAAAACAACTTAAGAAATCCCACATTCATGGACAAAAAGAGAAGAAAATTGAAAAAAGGAGTAGGAGTTCATGAGGAATTAAATCATCAAGTTTTTCTTGCTCACATTCATGATTAAACCCTTTTTTCTAAGTGGGCAAATGTTTAAAATTTACGCACAGAAAAATACAAAAAGAGAAATTTTGTGATGATAATCAGATCTTTAATCTTCCTTGATTTTTTCTAAATCCTAATACAATTAACGTTAATTTACAATCCTTGAATTGACTAATACCATACATAATTAATTAATTACTACGAAAATTAAATTGCTAGCTATAAACTTTTTTTATATATAAAAATATTTAAATAAGCTAATTAAACTAGGGCAAGAATCTATTGCCATCGTCTTCACGCTCCTTTAATCGACCTTCAGTCTCAGTCGCATCACCACCACTCTCATCATTAGAAGAAGTCGAGGTTGAAGGCAAACCGCCACACTTCTGACACCTGGCAACGACCAAAATCTGACGGCAAGAAGGGCAAGACGAGTGGGACCCTAGCCACGTGTCGATACAGCTCACATGAAATCCATGACCACACTGAGGCAACACACGGATTTCATTTCCAACTGAGAATTCCGTTAAACAAATTGCACAGTCGGAGAATTTTTCGGCGGAATCTTCAGAGTAGGTTTGTTTAGGGAGGGAGCGGAGGATTTTCTTTTTTAACCCTTTGTTGGCGATGGAAGGAGGAGGAAGAGGAACTGGTGGTGTCGGAGTACGGGATGAGAACCGGCGGAGCCAAGCGCAGCGTGCTACGGCGACGAGGCCAAGAACACAAATTAGAGCGCAGAGGAGTGCTGCTAGTATGACCATGAAATCTGAGTCCACCGTAGCTGATGGTTGAGGCGGCGACCCATTGATGGTCGCCGAAGAGTTCGCGACGGCGTTTAGGAACCTGAAAGGACGAGTCATGAGAGCGAGACGGATGGAGAGTAGCTCTGTTTTGTTTCTTTTCTTTTTCAAGAGTGCTTGTGAGAGAGACAGACAGAGAGAGTATTGAGTTCTTTAATGTAAGGAGGGTTTGAGTGTCTTTATAGGTAAGGAGTTAAAATGGGCCTTCAAAATCTTTTTATTTTTTTTTTAATATCTAATACCTTTTGCAATTATATGTATATCGAAATTAAAAAACATGAGTAAGTTTATTTATTTTATAATGAAAATTACGTCTTTAAGATATTTGAGAAATTTAATGTTATTATTGTAACGTTTCTTGTATATTATCTAATGATAGATATTTAAAAACAGTGTTTGTTTATTTTGTTAAAAAAAAAAAAGAAAGAAAAGCAGTGGGTTTTGCTTAAAAAAAAAAAGAAAGAAAGGTTTTACCATAAAAAATTATTCTTTGATAATTTTAGATATTTATTAGTATTTTATATAATTTAAATTTAAAATATCAGTTTTTAGATAAAATATTATTTAAACACTTTCTTATATGTAACAATCAACTAACAAAGTATTTTAAAAACTGAATTTAGATTTTTATCATTTTTGATAAATTAAAATATAATTTTTTTTCTTCTGTGTTTCTTTTCGAGTAGACTCATCAATTAAGAATTGTTAATTATTTTATGAGTATTTTAAAATTTTTTTGACTAATTTAATTATTCTAAAAAAAATATTTAGAAAAAAAATCAATAATTTTTTGTTATTTTTTTTCATTTGTTTTGATTGAATTTTTACATAACCCTATAGGATAATATAAATTTTCAAATTAGCCGTTTTCTTTCGTTTTTTCCCCCTCTCTCTCTCTTTCTGGAAAAAAGTTTGTTGCATTCGAAGTTAAGAAAAGGATCGATTGTGATATTGTTGCACAAAAGGGAAGCAGATTGACCCCCCAAATCCTTATTAATTAATTAACCACCTTTTAATCAACTTGTCAAACAAGCTTTGCTATTGTAGGGAGATTAATCACTGATTTCTTCTCAGGCTACACTTTTTCATTTGGTGACCAAAAAGAAATATTGCCAAAACACTCAACCTCCTCCGATTCCAATCCCGAGAGTAGCTTAAATAAGATTTTTTTTAAAAAAAAACATAAATATCAAATATTATATATCATAACAATTAATAATCTTGTTAATATTTATAAAAAAATTTTAAATAATTTTTTTGAGACAAAAAATAATATTTAGCATGTATGAAGATTTAAAATGCTCACGCGTAATTTTGCATTGACATTAAGAAAGATTAAAATCAAAAGATTTAAGATTTAATTTTCGTTAATAGATAGACGATATCTCACGAGTTTCTATGTATCAACCCTAGGCTTAATTTTATTTATTTATTTTTTTCATTTTCTCTGAAAAAAAGAACTGCAAATATGTCAAAACTTTTTAATTTCACCAAAAGGAAAAAAGAGGGACGAATCGAGTTCAAGTCTAAGATAGTGTGACTGAAATTCCCTTGGAAAATGAATATGCTGGAAAGCAATATTGATGAATTACAATTTAAGTAGCTATAAAAACCTATAATGCTTCCCTTTGAGTCTTTTTGACTCACAAGAACGAACCATTTCCTTCGTTTCTAGTCAAGGTAGCATTATTCTGTGGACCGTCCCACCTTGGTATAAAGTAGTAATTGCAAAAGAGATTCCAATGTTATTGGTTAAAAAAAGAAACAAAAATTAGATTCCATTGCAATAATTTCAGTCCCATTCCCCCTAGATAAAATTAATTAATTAATTAATTAATTAATTAAAATACTGGCCTCTTCCAAAAGAAGAGGAGAGTAGTGCAGTGGTGTTTTTGCAATTTGTACAGAGACTTTTCTCCTGGTCGTGGATCATGATCCTTAACCTCCAACAGGAAGGATTGATTAATGTCTGGTCGGGTAACGTTACGTTACATAAAGAAATTATTATATATGCCCCGAGTTGTACTCCAACCTAACAGAAAGAATATAGAGTAAATTAAAATTAATCCATTTTATTTTGAGAAATGAATTAATTACAAAACTAATTATTTAATTTTTTATGTTTTAATTTCGTTGATAATTTAATTATTTTGGTTAGATTTCGATTAGAACAGTGATGAAGTATTTTTAATGTAATTTTTTTTTGTTTTTCAATTGTTTTTTTTTTACACTATACTTATCTTCTTTATTTCTCCCTTATTAAGCAACAAAACAAATGTGGATTTGTTTGATAGATCCGATAAAAATTAACAACAAAGGACTAAAAAGTTAATTTTTTTAAAGGACTAATTTATAATTTATTCTAGAAATGTAGGATTTATTATAAAACTAATTTATGGGCGTCGTGTTTCCATAAAGGACGGTTTCCCATATACCGAATAATTCCTCCGCCGCATGAATCAACTACGAGCCACGTCGACATCAGAGTACACGTGGCAGAACAAGGCATGAAAACTGTGAACCGAAGATAATAATAATAATAATGCGTTGGGCAAGCAGATAAAAAGAGTTGTGTGTGATACTGACACACATGTTGTGCTTGTGAGTTGTGACTTTTACAGTGGACATCGGGCAACTACCACCAAGGTAAGCCCCATGTGATCTGCTTGTTTGTCTCCTCTGAACTTACCCACATTATTCTTATTGCTTCCTCATCCTTTAATTTAATGCATGCATTCGTCTCCCCTTCCTCCTTGATTTCTGGTTTAAACACCATTTTTTTTTGTTTAATTTAATTTAATTGCTTGAAAATTTTAACATCTTTTTTGTATGATGAAACAAAATAACAATTAAAAACATCATAGTAGTAATTATTATAGGTATTCCCGTATTTTTTTTGCCTCCAAAAGTATTTTAATTAGACAATTTCAGACGTAAAATATCAAATTATGTAATTCGAATCTCAAAGTAATAAGAATTGAGCAAATTTGACCTAAACTGTTCAATTTCTTAAAAATAATAAAAATTAAACAATTTATATCAAATTTATCCGATCTTTAATATTTTTAAATTTAAATTATTTTTAAATTCAAATTACGCAGTTTAATACTTTTGATTCGAAATTGTCAAATTATAATATTTTAAGGAAAAAAAAAGCAGTAATAGTGTAAGAGGCTGTGCTTACGATAATAATAACTACTAATTTTTCCATGTTTTGAAAAAAAGTCACCATCAACGTTGTCAATGACGGTGGTGGTATTATTGTCATGTAATGAATAGCAATACTATATATATATATATATAAAAATCTCATTTACATTGTTTTTATTCTAACTTTTTTATGAAAATAAAAATACGTTTAATTCTCATTTCCATATTCCCGCTCTCATTTCTCTCATTTTAAACCAAATATCTATAAAATGAGAATAAAACGTCTCCAATAAATTGTAATTTTGCTACCAAAGAGTACCTAGAATTATACTCTCACTTCCTCGGCATTAAAAGAAAAAAGACGCAAATTACAAAAACCTTCCTCTTCAAAAATACATCTTCAATCAAAAGATATGAACTAAACATTTTTGTTCCGTGTGCCAAATTGAAGTTCAAAGAAATGATTGCCTCATCTGGGGCAGTAGCATGAAACAATGTTCAAGATATGGAACAAGGGCATGAAGAACAGTTCTCAATTTACCTACACGATACAAAGCTAAGAAACTGTTCGGTCAAATCACCCCTGCAGCGATGCATTCTTACTGGAATTTCCAAGTAGACCAACAGAAACTACTCCCTGCAAACAAGAATGTGAAATCGGAGTCAGTCTATAATAAAAGATGGGAGCAGTCACTGTAAGAGTAGCATGGACAAGAATGCTAAATCATTAGTCAGTTTATGATAAAAGATAGAGCAGCCACTAAAAAAGTAGGCACCAGTTGTATTTTCTCAAAGCACTATCTCAAGAAGATATTATTGCAACCAGAACTATTCTCCTAAGTTTCATTTGCTATCCATTTCAACATCAAACACCTTATCATCCACACTATTATTTGTCAAGTTGGCTATCCGAAGGATGATCATCCACACTATTATTTGTCAAGTTGACTATCCGAAGGATGATCTGCTTCCTAAATCTTCATTAAACATAAAATTATGGCACATTCATGGGGAAAAAAGCAAACGAGATTGGTTACATCCAATTGAAATCAGGCTATAGATGCAAAAAAGTTTTTTTAAAAAAATTAAAATTTACCAACACACAAAAACAGATAAAATAGACTTGTTCAAAAGAAACGAGTGTGAGAAGATGACTTTATTGAAGTCAGCATGCTAATTATGCTAACAGCAAGGGCAAGAATGGCAAAAAAGAAAAGTAAACAAACTGCAAAGAAATCGACGCAACTCACAAGAAAGGAGCAATAGGTATTTTCTCAAAGCACTATCTCAAGAAGATACTATTTCAACCAGAACTAATCTCCTAAGTTTCATTTGCTATCCATTTCAACATCGACCACCTTATCATCCACACTATTATTTGTCAAGTTGACTATCCAAAGGATGATCTGCTCCTAAATCTTCATTAAACATGAAGTTATGGCACATTCATGGAGAAAAAAGCAAACGAGATTGGTTACATCCAATTGAAATCAAGCTATAGATGCAAAAAAGTTTTTGTTTTTTTTTTTTTAAATCAAATTTACCAACACACAAAAACAGATAAAATAGACTTGTTCAAAAGAAACGAGTGTGAGAAGATGACTTTATTGAAGTCAGCATGCTAATTATGCTAACAGCAAGGGCAAGAATGGAAAAAAAGGAAAGTAAACAAACTGCAAAGAAATCAACGCAACTCACAAGAAAGGAGCAATAGCTAGTTCCAAATAAAATTAAAGGAGATACAAAAAAGGAAAAACCATTTGAGTGCACCTAGCTGAATATGCCATGTCACAGTATATAGAGCCAGCAGAAGAGACTATTGTACAAAAAACCAGTTTTTCTTCAGCTGAAATGATCTTTTGAATTCTTCATTTAAAAATATATTGGCACCAGAGTGTTAGAAGATAACTAGGCGAGGGACATTACTCTGTGCTTATTTCCCATTTCAACTTCTTATACAGGATGCATTTATTTAAATACGCCATGCAAGTCACAGAAACTAGTTCGACAAGTTCCATAATCAGCACATTGAGTACTAGAATGATGTACTTTAACTGAACCCCACAAGCAGGGCGAATTGCAACGTACAATCCCCACAAAAAAGGGATAACCTAAAATCAGCATGACACAGATGAAAATTTGTGAATAATCTAATTGAAGGCCCTAGACATATTAGCAGATTGCAGTTTATTATTCAGTCAGCTCAGTACCTAAAGGAATCAAATAAATCAAAAGGCATTCTGCAGTTACACATCTCACCTCTAAAAGAAGAGATCATGCTCCTTTCTCTGCTCACAAATCAAATCTCACATTCCATTTACCATTCATGTCAGCATTGAGGGTCCAATTATTTTCCCTAATCTGCATATAAGGCACCTGAAGAGGGAAAATAAACAAACAAATAAATAAAAAGTGGCAAAAGAAGACCAAGTAAAGCCAGACCATACCAAAAAAGATTACAGCTCAAGTTGAATGCACGTTGCTTTCGACTATGGCAATGTATAACACAATGCAAGCGCTTTCTCATGTTTAAACCATAAAGGTATGAGAAATATACCTTGGTAATCACTTCATACCCAATTCTGAATCTAACATCTTGGTCTCTCTGGAAATTAAATACGGTCCAAGATAGTTCTGCAGCTGCTTTTTGATTCCTCTGTCATGGCACGGGAAAGTATTAGTTGCATATGGTAGCTAGAAAAACAGGTTACAATCTACTTCAATCAATGAACAAAATCTCTAAATAAACTGCACTTGGTATCAAGAACCTTACAGTTTCATATAAAAATACCATTTTAATTTCTTTAAACTCATAAATCCCTGATGTCGAAGACTCTCCAAGTCACAGCACCGATTCTCATATACAAAACCCAAAGAAAACACCAACCTGTTTAAATTCTTTGTCAACATCACAACGTCCCTTAACATTGAAGCTTAACAAACCATCATTTGTCACAGGAAAACCCTTTTTTCCCCGGACAAAATACCGGACCTTTTCATGCTTATCATATTGCAACCCCACTCCAATACTAGCAGCCAACTACAGTCAAGTCAATAAAACGTCAGCCCATGTTCTTAAAATAACAAGAATTTAGCTCCACATATCAGGGATTACAAGAAACATACATCTGGATAAAAATGTCTTATCATTGCACTGGCATAACTCGGAGCTCCAATTCTTGTATCTAGCTCCCCATGAACCTAACCAAAAACAGAAAAAAAATTAAAAATTAAAGCCCCAAGTTTGCATTTTAAAGAATTCCCAGAAATAAAATCAAGAAATCAATCCATGTTACCTGCAAGTGGGTGTTGGAATCAATGGGAAACTTCTCCTTGGCATGAATTTTGAGGGCTTTGGAGTTTACTCCATATCTTAGAGATGTCTCCATTATTGTACACTCTAATAATAATCTAAAAAATCCACCGAAACTTAAGCAAATAGTAAATTCCTGATTTTGGTGGTTGCGCCTCCGTCGCAGTGGTGGCTGCTAAAGAGTAGAGAGTAGAGAGAGTGTTGTGTTTCCCACCCAGCGTGTTATCTTCAAGCTTCGGACATTTCCATGTATCACGTGTCCGCCTTTCGTCTTTTTGGGCCCATAAATAGGGTGGCTTTGGTAAATATCACCATTTGAATTTGAAGGGCCTAAGCCCTGAGGTAATGTCCGTCAAGCCCATAAATATAGGATCATTGAGAGTAGGGAAGGGCTGTAAATATAAAATAAGGTTTATCGGTAAAACGAAATCCTAAACTTTTGGTCGAATCAAACTTTAGCTTTTTGTGTTTTGTTTTGTTTTGATTTTGTTTTTCTGGATTTTGATGCTTCAAAGTAATTCAACGTCTATGTTAAGCTTCCATCCATTTATATCTTTAAATGATACTTGATTTGTAAAGAGAATTTCTTTTTCTCCGACTTACAAGCAAAAAACAAAAAGAATAAAGAAGAAAAAGGAAAAAAAGGAGCAGTCATCACCGCCAAAGCTACAGCCAACATCTCCTTTCTCTCTCTCTCTTTTTTTTTTTTAATTACAATTAAAAAAAACTAAATTAAAACCATTAATTAATATTTATTATACTATTTGAAATACTGTTCACCAGACTTATTTGCATTATTTACTCGGACTCAAATGTACTATTTTTTTCACTAAGCAACAATATTTTTGTAGTTTTAAAATATTTTAAAATATTTATTATGAAAGTTTTTATTACATTACATAACATTTTGATTTCTCCTTTTTAAATATTATTTGTTTAATTGGTAAATGTTTTTTTATTTAATTTTGGTTTCACTTTTTTATTTTATTTTGGTCCTTTGTTTCTCCGATTTTTTTAATTAAAAATTTTAAAGTAAAAATATTTTAAAAAAAACATTTATAAAATAAGGTTTTGACTCGAAAATGTGGACGAGAGATAAATAAATAATATTTTTTAATAAAAAATTTATGAAAATATAAAGAATAATTACTCAAATATAAAATTTTAATGATAAAATTGAATGAATTTTTATTCGAGTCTTAATTTGATATATTTTGGTAGATGCACAATGTAGCACATGATATCAAAATAAAATAATTTTATGTATTTTATCTAATCCACAATTTAACGCGAGTAAAAAAGTGATTCACGATGCCGAGGGAAAAAAATTAGTTCACTCTAATTAATAACAGACCTCACAAATAGCAACTAAACCGGTAAGAGCATCTCCAATGATGCTCTCTACCTTTACCTAGCATTTTAAATGTAAATAGAAAGCATTATTAATTATATAGATTGAAAATCAATGTTCTCTTCAATGCTCGCTCTCTATTTTAACTCTTTATTTTGACAAAATTTATAAAACTCAAAGAGAGTATTAATAAAGAGGTTGAGTGACATAGGAAATAATAATTTTTATTAATGAAATATAAGATAAAGAGTCATTTGAATTCTCTACAGTATCGAGAGCCAAAAATACTCGTATCTCAATTTTAAAAATAAAGATTACGATAAAAGAGCATTGAAAATGCTGTAATGCATCTCCGCTAAACAACCACCAAACACAATACTCAAAGTAGCAACTCAAACAACTCTCTAACAATTCCAAAAACAACAGCTCAAACTCTCAAAATAGCCATTAAAACAGCACCCAAGCAGCCACACAAACCGGCCCACACAATCTCTTTAATGGCCTCAAAACGACCGCAAACCAATGCCAAACGGCTTTCAAATAATCTCTCAAACAAACACCAAATAACAATCAAAATAGCATAGTAAGCAAATCGTAACAGCCACAAAACAGTCCCATCAGCAGCACCACCAACCTCAGCCACGATAATAGTTCTAATAGCTCCCCCAAGAACTATATAGGCAGCAACAATATTCGTAACAACAACAGAGACGCACGAGAGAGGAAACAAATCGGAATTCAATTTAGTTTTCAAAACATGCTTTTTAGTTCTTGTATTTGAGTCAAACACCTAAGTTAGTCCCTTACGTTTGCTCGATCGCTTCTTTTAGTCTTTGATTTGTCAGGATAATTGAATTTGGTCTATTTGTTCTCAATTTTGATAATTATCCTCCATATACATCATCTAAACTCGTGCAGACCACGAGCCTCTAACGATGTAAATGGACATAACTTGAGGTACCAAAATCATAAAACAAAAGATTAGAGGTTAAATTGAATTTGACCAGAAATTCACGAAATCATTTTATCAATTAGACAACATATAAGATGATTGATTGATTAACAAGTTTTTAATAGATAGTAAAAATATTCACGAATATGAAATATATTTTTAAACAGTAAATACTTAGGTTATTCTTGATTGAATTTTAGTGCTTTTTTTTCCATTTTATCTTTAAAAAATTATAATATTTTCAAAATCATTAAGAAAAAAATTTAATTTTAATTGACGTATAAATTAATTTGATGATACATACATGTATTGTCAAATAAAATAAAGCAATCATTTATCTATATATTTTATCTTTTTACATCAAACTTAATGCTTATATATATAATATTAAAATTGATGTTTATATTTATTTAATTTAATTTTTTTATTTGTAACAAGTTCAAACACCATCAAACGATTTACAAACCTTGAGTTTCAATTCTATCTTTCTTCTTAAAAAGAAAGTTAAAAAAAGAAAAGAAGAAGAAGAAGAATGTAAAATGGGCCGGATTACGTAATTGAAACCAACTTGGGCTGGCCCGACCCGACCAAGAAATCGGGTTCCATCTAATCCATGCTCATTGCATCACAAAGTCAGATAGAATCAAACGTTGGAGCCGAGGAGAATCCATCGATCTGTCTATGTTCAAGTAGTTGCCTGCAGAGAAACTTCGTACTGATCGAAACGTAAAAATTAGTTATGGGGTTTCGATTCGATTTGCTTTTGTTGTTTACGACACTTGCTTTACTCTCAACAACAACTCCTACTGTACTTTCCGACGTCATTCTCTCCAGAGTCGATCGCCGTGTAAGTTTGCAATTTCAGAGATCTTATTTCTTGGATGCTAGTTTTTGCAATTTCTAACTTATGTTGATGATCTTGTGTTGCAGATTGATTTGAATTCACAAATTGTGCGCGTTACTTCTACATTAAAGGTGCTTCACTGATTTGGTTCTTTTTGCTTTTAAGAATTTGATTTTTGATTATGATGTATCCGACTAGAAATCTGATAGTCGATTTGTTTTTATTGAATCCCTTATAAGTTTAGTTTGTTTGAAAATGGGCATTGATCCGTAAACCCTAAGCTTGCATTTCTTACTCTTACCTCACTGTTTTAGGTGGAGAATGCCGGTCCTGATCCGGTTTCTGAGATTTTGCTTACCTTTCCTGAGGTTCAGGCCAAAGATTTGGCAATTTTGAAGGCAACCCTTCGTGAGGGTAAAGGGAAAGTGAAGAACTCAGGTAGTAGCCTCCCTGTAAATGTTGCCAATCCAGAGGGAATGCCTCCATCTCTGTTTTTTCATTCGGTATTGTTGCCTAAGGCATTGGGTGAAGGGCATAGTTTGACTATAGATGTCTTAGCAGTATTTACTCATGCATTACGGCCATTTCCTGAGGAAATTACGCAAGCTGATATTCAGCTAGTTTTGTACCAAGATACTGCTTACTATCTCTCCCCTTATGCAGTTAAGGCTCAGTCCCTTACTGTTCTGTTGCCCAAGGCTAGAATAGAGACGTATACGAAGTTGGAGAATACTAATGTCCATGGCTCTGATATCAAATATGGCCCTTATGAAAACCTTCCTCCCTTTTCATATGCACCCATAGTTGTTCACTTTGAAACCAATCAACCATTTGCTGTTGCTCAAGAGTTAGTGAGGGAGATAGAAATTTCCCATTGGGGCAACGTGCAAGTTACAGAACATTACAACATTGTCCATGGAGGTGCTAAAAGCAAGGGTGAATTTTCCCGGTCAGTTACTCTATTCTTCTTGTGTTAGCGTTGTGGTAGTGATTGCTATAATATTTCAAATTTGATTCTTTTCATCCTGCAGGCTTGACTTTCAGGCCAGACCACACCTTCGAGGTGCATCAGCCTTCAGGAATCTTGTTGCAAAATTGCCACCAAGAGCTCATTCCATTTATTATAGGGATGAGATTGGAAATATATCAACATCTAATGTCTGGGGTGATCCTAAAAAGGTGGACATTTTGATTGATACAAAACAAATTATTAGAATAAGTACTTCTGTTTCTAATTGAAATTTTCTCTTTAATTGCAGATAGAACTATTAATTGAACCTAGATATCCACTGTTTGGAGGCTGGAGAACTACCTTTACTATTGGATATGGTTTGCCACTTCAAGATTTTTTATTTGGGTCAGAGGGGAAACGTTTCCTTAACTTCTCTTTTGGTTCCCCAATAAATGATTTGGTCATTGATAATCTTATTGTGAAGGTTAGTTTCATGGAAAATGTTTCCTGCAAGAATGTTTTCTTTAGGCAGAGTTTGACTCGGTTTTATTGTTGCAGGTTGTTTTGCCTGAGGGATCCTACGATATATCTATTTCTACTCCATTTCCTGTAAAACAAGGACAAGAGGTATTTTAGTGCTAAGAGTTTATTTGTCTTTTCTTGTCTGGTATTCTTATTTCATTTTTTTTTTTGTTTCAAGTTATTTTTTATCTTGGGCATAATTTCTTCTCCGCTATAAAATACTGAGGCTATCTGCATTTATTTGATTGTTTTTCTGATCTAATGCAGGCCAAAATTTCCCACTTAGATGTTGTTGGTAGACCAGTAGTTGTGCTGGAAAAGACCAACGTTGTTCCTGAACATAATCAGTATTTCCAGGTACTTTTTCGATATGTATGAACTGCATTGAAGTGCCAAAGTGTGAATTAAGGCCTCTGTTACTACAATTTAACTTCATTGTGCTAATTATTGAATATCAAAATGAGAGACTAGCTGAAGTTAGCTAGTGAATTTATTGGAAATTGGAACAAGAGGGGTGCTGGTCATCCATAGTTTATTAAAAGCCATGGAGGAGATTTTTGCTATTCTTAATTCTGACTTGGTTTTGAGGATGCTTGATTGCTATGAATATTGTGCGCAGTTGTAGCGATGCTTTTGTGTTTGAAACATCTATATTTGCTCCAACAAATTCAGAAATGTTTCACCATTTTAGACAAGGTAGATAATAGGTTAATTGTTGGACAAAAGCCTCCTTGTAGTGTAAGGCTTTCTGTAGACTAATGGATTTAACAGAAGTCATAGATATTTCCTCCTTTATGGTTGTTTTGCTATTCTTTGGAGGAGTTAGGGACTTGAAAGTGATGATCTTTAACGTGGCAAGAAATTGTAGGCATAGCTGCTATCTTGTGTGTAATGTGGTTCATGTGGGAGGGAAACATCTGTGTTTCGCATCCCTTGAGACTTGAAAAACTCATGGTTTAAGTTTCTAATTTTCCAATATGCTGAAATGCAGAACCTACATTTCTTGGATTTTATAAGCAAGACTTCATATGATTGAACTGAGTTTTTCTTATCTTTGACACAGTCAACAGTTGAATGCATCTTTTTACTCATCCAAGAAGCATTATAAGGAAGAATAGCTTCTTATTTTGGTGTCTCACAGAATTAAATGGTAGATCTCTTTGATGTGTTGAATGACTATTTTTTTTGCTGTTTGTATTGCAGGTCTATTACAGGTTCAACAAACTTTCGATGCTAAGGGAGCCATTTATGTTGATTTCTGGAATTTTCCTCCTCTTTGTTGCCGGCATTGTATACATGCATGTAGACTTTTCAATCTCAAAGTCCTCTGCTTCTTATTTGGCAAAACTGCAATGGGATGAGGTAACTAGGATGCCATGCCATGTAAATTTTTTAGTTCTGTCTGACATCAATGTTTACAACTGAAAAGGCCAACATATATTATATTATTAGCTCATTTATGATTTCAGGTGCGAGCAACAATTCAGCAAGTCCAAGGTATCATCAACCAATGCTTATCTATCCATGAAAAGCTAGAAGCATCTCTGCGTGATCTTTCTAGGACTGGGGATGTTCAAGCTTGTAAAACTGCTCGAAAGACAGCTGACAGCTTGTTGAAAGAGTATTCCAAAGAGTTGAAACCCTTGCTTTCATTCTTGCAATCTTCTCCTCAGGCTACTCAGATATTGCCAAAGGTTTGTCTATTTACTTCTTATCCTTTATCATCAATAGAGGATAAATTCGTGGAATTTATTCCAAGAGGCAGGAAAAAACTATTGCCAACTGTGTCAGCAGTTACGTATAACAGCATTCAACCATCACTCAGCACATAAATTGTTATACAATTGTCAAAACTGGAACGATATACCATCATCGTGTTCTGTTACCATGTTCACCTTCTTCTGTTTTGCTGTGCATCCACATTCCTGACTGCAATCAATACTGGCTGTTTATGCAGGTGGAGGAGCTGGTGGCAAAGGAGAGGGAATTGCAAGAGAGGCTGATAGCGAAGCATTCAACCATAGTGGACTGCTATGAGAAGAAGATTGGAGGAAGGGAACTTGAGAATCGGGTGGCTTCACATCAACAAAAAGTTGTAGCTTTGAAGCAGGAGGTTGAAGATCTTCTTGACTACATTGAAGAAATATAGTTCTAGGTTTAGGGTGCCTGAGTTTCAGGCTCAGAATTTGCTTCTTATCTAAATTAATACTTGATGAGCAAACTGCAATTTTCTACGGCAATAGCTTGCCTAATATAACTTCTACATGATAGTGATAATTGGAACTTTGAGCTTATATGAACTATCCATCCTGATAATCCCTGCATGTTGAACTTTGAGTCTGGCACTAGGGTCTGGTGGTGTTATCAGGTTGACCCATCATTTAAATTCTCAGAACTTCCAGAATAAAGCTTCAGTGGGCGCATTCCAAATGCCAAAAATGGAAGGAGTTTATTGCTCGACCAATCTTTGCAATTTTTTTTTTAGTAATGAATTATTATCAATATTTAAGGTGCACATTAGCTAATGCATCCAATGGCTCATGATATAATTGATATCAAATCGCCATTGTTATCCATTCCAATAGACTTAAAATTAAATAATTAAAAAAAAAATGGAAAAAGAACAAGAAACCAGTACATCAAAGTGGAAAATTCTTGAGAAACCAAGAAGATTTTTAGCCAAGAACTTTCTTCACAACCAACCTCCTTTGGTAGCTCTGGATTTATCTGAACATTAAGGGAATACATTTCATCTTACATGCATTTTGCTTTGCCTTTCGTGATTTGAACATAGGTTGCTCGTGGGAGGGAGGGAGAGATAGAGAGAGAGAAAAAGCGGGAATGCTAAACATTTTTTCAAATTAATTGCTCAAGCAAAACCATTTAATGGCCGTGAAAATTTACAATATTGGAATTCAAAATAAGTGGGGGAAATTGGAACTGACAACTTCCAACACTGGGAAATGCTATTATGCTAGTACCCTTTTAGAATTCTCCGATCAACAAAATTGTAGTGCCATAGTTTATCCGAGATTCTTGTAATTACAATTGGGCTACTTTCCTTCAGCTGGCATTACTTGCAGAAGCTCAATGTTTAACTCAAATGTACTTCCTGCCTGCATTACGAATTTAATAATTGGTGAGCAAAATTTGTAACCGAAGTATTTTCTAGATTATTAGCAGCAGTTAGAAAATCTAACAACGGAAATCCAAAAGGGAGAAGCCATAGAGACTTTCTGCTGCCCAAAATGCTGTTGAAGCAGGGGATTGAGAAGAGATTAATTTTCCCAGGTTTTAAGAAAGCTGAAAATGATCTAGTTTATCTGATAAAATTTCCAGTAGCCCACTAATTCAAAGCAATAGATTGATTTGCGATTGCCAGTAGCCTACTAAAAGTGAAAACACCAGAAATGTTCATTTTAAGGATGAACAAGAGAAATGATTGATTTGTCGGATAATTATGTCAGCCGAAGGTAACAGAAAGCAATGTAGTTTAACTTGATCCACAGGAATCATTCAGCAAATTAAGAAATAACGTTTTACCGGAATCTCATTCATTCCTTTTTGTCCATAACCAGCCTCTGGAGGAACAATCACAGTCCTCTGCAAGAAGAGAAAGATGATGACTGAAAAGCTAGCAAGAAAGCAGGGAAAGATAGAAGAACGATAATAGTCATGGAGTCTAATTCAAAGGCAGATGATCGGAGATAAAGAATAACCACTCCATCAGTTGAGCATATAAATAGCAATGAAGTAGAGGATGTAATCACCTTCCCTCCCACTTTCATCCCTTCTGTTACCGAGTACATAGCTGGAGGAGGTTTCGGTGCAGCCTGCGCAGAAAATAGGCCATTTGGGTTGTCCACAAATTCACGCTTCCGTTCTTTGCCTGGCGTTGTCCCAACCTTGAACTCATATGGCTAATTGAGGCATGAGGAAATCAGTATTGGCAATTTATTCAATGGCAAATCCATGTTACCATGGTCTGAAAATGCTACCAAGAAAGGAAAAAGTGCACACACACACACACACAGAGTTAAGTAGAAGAAGCATCAACCTGTGCAATTATTCGATTTCCAGCTAGAAGCTTAGATTCTCTACTCGACACCGCTGTTATTCCTCTATATAGACAGTCAAAATGCACCTATAAAGGGAAATGCACGAGAGAACTTGAGAACCTCATAGTACTTCAACGAGAGAGACAAAAACAGATTGGTTTCAGTTTGTCGCAAACAAACCTGAACTGTCATTCCTTTTCCTGCTACTGGACCCTTTCCCTCAAGAACATCATAGTACTTCAATCCATCAGCTGCCAAATCCCAAAAAAAAAAAAAAAAAAAAAAGGAAAAAGAAAAGCATAAGATACCATCTAAGCTCCCTGACCTTTGATGCAAATGTTAACTGAATTTACTTCAATACTATCTAAGCTCAGAGAACAATTAAGAAAAAATTTCCCCCTTCAAACAATTCATTCCTCGGATTATTCATCATAAACCTAATAATAAAGCTCCTAAATTTATCCATGAAATCACTAAAAAATGGACTAATCAAACCAATAAAAAGCAAAAAATACTGGAAGTTCGGAGTAACTAACGGGTAGTGTGATAGTCTTCAAGAGGGATGGTCTTCTTGTTGCGTCTCTCTCTGGCCTCTGATAATCGAGGTAGAGAAATGAGGCTAAAAGGCAACGTAGATATCAAAATTGCACATCTTCTTGAAGTGGGTTTTGAGAGAGAGACATTTTTTGATTGTTCTTGTGTTCGTATTGTTGTAGATTTAGCAAAAGTTCGACGATGATGAATATTAACACTCCATTTTCCTAAGCTTCTTACGGTAGCCATGATGACGACGATGACAGTTGGAATCCAAATTGGCTTACGGTTATAAAACTCCCGCAAAACCCACAACTCTCTATCCACTCTCGTCACCCAAATCACCATTTTGCCACCCGCTTGCTTTTCCGTGGTGAGTATGTTATAAATTGGTCCCTCTAGTAATAAAACACGAATTAATTAGTCCTTTAAAAAAAAAACTAATTATTTAATTTTTTTGGTCCTTTTTATGTTTTTTTTTTAATTTTCTTTTTCTTTTGTTTTAACAAATAGATACTATGGAAATATTGAGGGAAGAATAAAACTAATTATTTAATCTTTTTTCTTGGTGATTTTTTTGCTTTAATAAAAATGGGTGTGAAAGTTTGATTTAATATCAGACTCTGTCACCATATGAAGAAATATAACCTGACAAGGCATGGAATGATTCAAGACAAAAGAAAAGGTTTCTACTTTATACAGGAACCCTACCTTCCTTAATTAACACAACATTTTGCTCAAATTTCTCTATAAATGACGAATTTTATGATGGGCCTGGGAAAATTCTCCTCCACAAGGTTTACCAAATATACGAAGTAGGGATTGAATGCAGAAAAGGAAGCATTTTGTACTAGTACAACTTGGTATGCAAAACAACAGTTGATGATGTTTTTGCTGTCTTCTACCCTACATAAACAGCAGATCCGGTACCAGCTATGATACCCATCTTGAGACTTGAGGTTTTCTTGCTGCACAGACCACAGCAATGCAATGATAAAGCTAGAATAAAGGAGAGAAAAATCCTGTATTTGCCACAACTAAAAGTGGCCTTGTCAGGAAAGTAACAGCAATACTGTTGTCTGAGATTTCCACAGCGAATTAATAGGACCATGCCACAAAAATTTTGTCTTGCGACTAACATTACTCATAACTATGCTCAACTCAGTAGATCCCGTTGTCCAGATGAGTAGTTGCTGTCGCTTGGTTGACGCTGATGGCTCTCACTGAGATCCACAGTTGCCATGATGTTTGCTGTGTGTTGATGGGACGCTAGCTCTGCTTCAACGTCACTGAAATCTGGATCTTTATTACCTAATTTCTTGGTTCGATGAGGAGTGGATGATGGGGAATGCACTGAAGAGTCATCAGGACTACCACCCAATGTCCTCGTAGGGATTTGGTTCGATGGCCCTTCAGCCGATTTCTTTACAGCTTTCTTATGCCAGTTCTTCAGTGCCTTCGAAGTTTGCTGATCAAAGATTGAGCGCTTCATGGTCGACCCCATCTGAAAATTTCCAAAAAGAAAACTATCAATGAAGCTTCACGCTGGACAGGAGTAGTTGACATTTCTTTTGAGTTGCTTCCAAATTTATAAAGAGTCTAACCTAGGATGAAATTTCGGAAGAAAATGTGAAAGATGAGTAAATACCTGCGTAACTAGGGCATAGAGTGGAAGTGTGGCATAGCTGCACAGGACTTGGGCTCCTATTCTGAGAGTTCAGAAACTTGGTCATTTTCAATAAATCAATACAAATTCCATGTTCATAACGTTATAGACAAGTTCTTGTGATTTAGATTCGTATTCTGAGACGATGTCTAGGCCCCAGGGGCTGATTCAAAAGAATATGCTTAGGTGCTCCATGCCTATGAGAGATATCACTCACCCAAAAGTAACTCGGGTGATTATGAGGACTGAATCTTGATTCAAACAAGAATGGCTCCCGAACTCATACTGCAGGAGGAGGAAAAAGAATCATAAGAAACCATTTGTGATTAAAGAAAAATTAACACACGAGAAGAAGAGAACGAGTCATTACCCATGCCCAAAGGAAATATGTTAGCTCAAATGCGTTCTGGACATGAAGGTAAGCAAAAGGGTCGTTAGAAAATCCCATAAATCATAAGTTAAAATATAAGATACAGGACCATTGACAGAACTATATGTCTGAAAGTATAAACTCCACAACTCTGTCATGTGAAGAAAAGAAGGTTCCGTGATACCTGAAAAAGGACAAAGTGGATGAGATAAAGGACTAACTCCGGCCAGGAAAACCAGAAATTTCTGTCAGACACTTGAACAAGTGGTATTCCTTGAACTACAGCATGTCTTTCTTTAATTTCAATTGCCATTTGTGCTATAATTGCTTGAAGTTTTGTTCCGACTGCCAAGGTTACCTTCAATGAAACCCGTAGGCAATATTTAATCTTTACCCAGTTAAAATAAAACAACACGAGAAGCGAAGTCTTTTATGGACAATTTCTTACAAATAGAGGAAGAAAGGAAACACAGAACTGAGCCTTCCATCCTGAAAAGTATAAAGCCAATGACTATTAGGGAGCCTTAGTCCCGTTTCGATAAATTATGGAAAGACTAAAATCAAAAAAGAAACAAGAAGGACTGACCATGAACGTTGGTAAGAAGATTGAGAATCGCCGAAGCCCATAGCAGTGGACTGCCAGGAATATAAAGATGGTGAATTGGGAAGTTACAGAAAGAACAGTGGAAATATCTGTCAGCTAAATTTCATAGGGCAACCAAGTCGAAAATAGTTTGACTGTTTTACCTTATTCCAACAACTACCTTGAAATCATCTTCCAATGTTTTTTTGATATAATTTTGAAAATTAAACTTGCTTCCAGGGGCTAGATGAACCTGTAGGAAAAAATCAATTTAATTACCGATCATAGTATTATGAAGAGCTGGTTAAAAATTTTTGCACCTGTTGAAACTCACAGAAATGAATCCATGTCGCATGGTCAAGTAATCAGACTTTCGAACAGATCTGAAGAATTGTCGAAAGAAGCATACCTGGAAGGATTAAATATCCAAGCACTGTAGTTAATATGAAAGCTAAGAACATAGGACTAAAATGAACTCTAAACGTTTCAAAGAAATGTCACAAAGTTCAGATATTAGTCAGGCTGATTAGCAGATGATTATTTCAGTTTTTCCACGTTAATTCCTTTGTTTTAATATATCTCTCCACGTTACAAAAAGATCGATTTCTGTTCACATGCCACAGGTAATTAAGGAGCTCAACTGTGGTTACAGATTCCACCATGATTTTCTGAAGCAAGAATAGCTGAATATTCAAGTGATAGCACATTTTTCTACCAAAAATTTATCTGAACGAACACGCGTTGTAAAAGAAGCTGAAGCTGAAAACAGTGACGTCTTTCTTACCGTGTAAAAGAGGACTGGCGTTTTCATCCAAATACTCGTGTGTTCTCTTACGAATGATGTCTCATGAGTGAGCCTGAATCTTGCAGGATCTGTAAAATTAGCAGGAACCTCCTCATCACTTAAAAATTAGAGCTAAATGCAAAGCTTAACACCAGATTCTTGGAAACTCAACAATGCATGCCTCAATATGGGGAATGAAGAACAGGTTATTAGCATCTAGAATACCATTCATGGCCTCGTGCTCCAACCAACTCTCCCGTTCCCATTCCTTCCAATTGCGTATCTGCGTACGAGGGAAATTATAACTTTAAGGTCATGCATTAAGAGGATATTATCAGAAACAGCTCGAAAGGGCAGGGACGAGGTTATCTCCAGCATGGAATGGAAAAACATCAAAATCCAAGCAAGTTGCTATTCACTTTTCAGAGACAGCATTTGTTCTGAAGATCTCATTCTCAGCATGCCTCTTGCATCAACTAATGGCAAATCAAACTTCCAAGGAAAAAACAACAAAACCAATATGGAAACCGTGCCAAAATGCACCCCCTACCTTCAATCTTCCAAGCATCATCGTTATGGCACTGTATACCACATGAAATACTGCTAAAAAGAATATGAAGATGTGCAACTGATGCATTCCTTCGACAGATATAGGTTGCACATACCCCTAAAAAACGAATTAACAACCATGAGTTCGAGAATAGGGATAAGAAAAAGCCAGGAGCATAAGGCCATTTCACGAATTCTAGTTTTTAAACAGCTCTGACAACCTTCACAGAATCTAAGAGATCGAAACGAAAAAGATAAAATCCTCTGCATAGCAGTTGAATTCAAATGCAAGTATTCGATTTTTCCTTCTAAACAAGGTATTCTTACAGGTTGGCACTCTTTGCTTGCACTATCACCAGCTAAAAACCTACGGTGATACCATAAAAGCCTGCGGCGATGCTCCTCTTCACCGCCGACAGGTTCTTTAGGACTGTCCTGGGCGCATGGCAACATTGTATTTGCATACTTTAGAGGAACACAGATACCGACAATATAACTCTGACTGAATGTCAGGGTTAGAGATATGAATCCTAAAACCATAAGCTCTGCAAGAATTACCAGAAAAATGGTGATATTAGTACCTTGGATTTCCCTTTTTCATTTTTTTTTTTTTTTTGTATCAATCAATTAGAGAAACAATAACAAAACATTAGCGTACCGGTTTTAACTTTCTCAAGAGCATCAAACAAGGCAGTGTTGTGTTTTTTTTTAAACCACTGCAAACAAAACAAAAGAACAGAAAAACTGTATCAAAAGATCAATTATGGAGGAAAAAGAAATCAAATGCAAAAACCAAATTGGTTTATATAATTTAATGTAATGCAATCCAAATGAATCTAATGCTTTCTTATTTCATTTGTGGCACAAAATGTTCAAAATTCTTGCAGACAATACCTGTCCAGTATTATGAAGAAACTTCTCCAATATAATAGAGATCACAATCATGGCTGCGCAAACTGCAGATACTGCCCATGTCGGTGTCTGCTCGAGGTCTCTTGCACCCGGGACTTCTCCACCTGCCATTTTCTAAAATCCCAATCTGGAAAGAAACAAATTTCAGACACAAACAAGATACGCGACAATTAAGGATCCCACATTAATGTCTTGATTACAGCCTCTGCAAATTAACTCGGAGGAAAAATGCTATGGTTTTCTGGGAGTTTTCCAAAATAACACTAAAAATAATTCGTTGGCTCTCTCTCTCTTTCCTTTTCTTGTCTTCCCGTAAAGGTATTCAACTGGAAATTTATATGACGGTAATTATTATTATTCAGGAACTGGTCGAAGGTCGTTCCATAAATATCAGGAGTGTAAATATAGTAATATATAAAAAATAAAAAAAAGGTAAAAAAAATTCATGGACTATGATGGCTAATTTAAAAGGGAAATTTTCGCAATCAAACACTATAAATACCCCTCCTATTATTGCCATCTTTATAGTGTTTGTTTGGTATTGATGTACTTTTAGCTACTATTGATCTAAAAACACTGTTTGGTTAGAGCCGCCAAGATCATCATGGACAGGCTTTGTGAGGATGTAATAACCCAAATTCTTTTATGCTTGCCGACCAAATCTGTTGTCCGATTTAGATGTTTGAGCAAGTATTACAATCAACTTGTGTCTGATCCTAGGTTTGCTACCAATCATGCTCTTCTATCAATTCCTGAGGTACATGGTTTTTTCGACTTCTCGGTTCTGGATTCTAACAATGTTGTCTACTGTTCTGTTTCAAGACTAAAAAAACCTAAATCCAAGAATTCCAAAGGGATTACAGAGCTACCTCCTGCATTGTCTTTTTGCAGTAGACGTCTTCTTCATATTCTCGCTGAATTCCATCTTTCTATTTATAACCCAATTTTCATTAGGGTTGCTACAGCACCAAAAAAGTTTTCTGTTACCCCAGATGACAAATGGAATCTGGGTGTGGCTGATAATCCAATTTGCTCAAAGATTGTCCGTGTTTATAGAGCTCGAATCTTGGATTCTGGAGAAGAGATTTATCGTTTTCGGATACAAAACTGGGGTGCAATCGAGTGTAGGACTTCCAAGTTCCTACTGACATGTGCGGCTGGTCGATTCTGTAAGCCAAAGCATCCAGCAGTGTACTTGGATAAATGTCTGTATTGGGTTAGGCAGTGCGGTGACATTATTGTATTTGATGTGGAAAAAGAAGCTGCTAAAACCATTGTTATGCCTTCAGAATTGAAAGAGCAATGGGCTCAAAACCAGGAATCTTCATGGTTTGGAGCTGCAAAAGGTTCGATCAACATGGTATTTGTTTTATGTGGAGAAATTGTGTTGTGGGCTCTTCATGATTACGAAAACAACAACTGGGGCTGTGTCAGGAGCAAGATTGGAGATCTAAGTAGTCCTCTTTATCCTATTTTCTTCGATGGCAATCAGCTTGTCTTGGAATCTAAGCTGAATGAAGGAGAGCTGCATATGTACAATATGAAGCAAGAGAAGTGGAAGAAAATTGGCATTTCACCAGGTATAATTGATGGTAGCGACCAACAACACCAATCAAAAGCATCTCTTCAAATGCTAATGCCATGGATTGTGCATTTCAAAACTTTAACATCATCAAGTACAACTAAGTGAAAGAAAAGAACAAGAGCTGGCGACTTTACAATTTAGATATGGCATGAATCAATAGTTAAACGTATTTATTTCTTCTGAATTGTTAGAAATCCTTAAACTTGGAAGTTGTTGTTTTGATTAATATAAGAGTTTGTTAGCTCGAAAAATATTGATATTGCCCGGCTAGAAAAATCAAGCAACCAAATTAAATGAAGGGGTTCAACAAATAAAACCTTCTTATTTCCTCGATGATTTTTTTTATTTTTTTTATGATTTACATAGCTGGGTATCTATAGACCGATTTCTTCAGAAACTATAATAACAATTCTGTATTATTTACATAATGGGTTATCAACGGATATTGATTTCTTCAGAAACCACATTAACAATACAAAAACCTTCCTATTTCCTTGAATCAATATTTATTTTTTATGATTTACATCGTGGGTCATCTACACATCGATTCCTTTGAAAACCATAATATTCCTCATCAATCTTTTTATTTTCTTGTATGATTTGCATAATAGGTTATCAACGGATCCCTTTGAAAACCATAATATTCGTCATCAATCTTTTTCTTTTCCTGAATGATTTACATAATAGGTTATCAACGGATCGATTTCTTTGAAACCACATAATAACAATATAAAAACCTTTTTATTTTCTAGATGAATCATTTTATTTTATGATTTATATCGTGGTTTATCTACATATCGATTTTTTTGAAAACCACAATAATAATACAAAACCCTTCTGATTTCCTTAATCAATTTTTTTTTTACGATTTACATAATGGTTTTTCAACAGATGACGTAAAATTAAAGTTGAGGGATGAAATTAATAAAAAATATATTCAAGTTAATTTAAAAATTTAAAAGTTATTTTACATAACTAATTAAATACATTTTAGTAATAAAATAATATTTATTTTTGGTACACTTGTTATAATTTTTATTATATACTATTTATAAGATTTTGTTTTATGAACAAAGGCTAAAAAGTAGTGGCTTTAAAAAGAAAAAAAAAAACAACTAAAACTAGAAACTAATAATTACATTAACTGTTGAGACGGTAAAAAAGGAAAATTTTATTTATAAAAGGCAAGTGATATCTATCAGATTTTTTTCTTTTTGAACAAAATGCTAAAAAAATAAGAGTTGTTAAACAAAAAATTGTTTCTCTAAAAAATCATGGGCTTATTATCCTAAGTCAAAACAATGCAAATTTAGGTTTGATTAAGATTTTGTTTCTTCGAACTTATCCGGTGGATGCATGCATTAAATATTTTATCTTTTTCTTGAATATTAATGGAATTCTCGCCGAGGGCAATGTAAGTCTCCTATCGTACGTTTTGGGACGTTTTATATTTACTTATAAATGAAACCATTTTTATATATAGCTGTAGATAATTCTTGATAAAAAAAAATAATAAATTAAATATTTTTTAGAGCTCATTACCTCTACTATCCTTTATTTTAGGTGTCAAATACATTTTGCAACTTTTTTTAAAAAAAATTACGATTTCCACTGTAAAATTAACAGAGTTTGAAATTTTTAAAATCTAAAAATACCCTTATTTGAAAAAAAAAATTATTGCATTTTCATTTTATAATTTAAACTTTTTTTTTCGGAAGAAGAACTTATGGTTTCTTTTTAGAAACTCATACGATAAAGTCTCAATGTATTTTTTTTAATAAAAACTTCTGTGTTTTGAAAATCTATGCCATGTGTTCATCCATATGTTTCTGTGATAAATCATATGATAAAAAGTAGAATAAAAAATAAAGGATATGCTTATTTATGAATGAAAATAACACATTTTGCTTGATTTTTCTTACTGATACCGAAATGAAATGGAATTGAGTGGAATAAATGATTTTTTCTAACGAATCTTTTTTTTATTAAATAAGCATTATACTTGTCTATTTCATGAGTTCATAATTTTCAAGGATTATTTGATCATTTTATAGTATTTTGACTAAAAAATAAACTCAATATTTGACGGTCAACTAATAAATTTTATCATACGAAAAATAGAACACGAAAAGTATGAGATTTTCAAAACGAGAGAGTGCAAAGTGTACACTAAAAATAGAGGATGATGGAGTTAATAATTAACTCTAATTTTTATTTAGAAAAATTCCTATCCGTGTATGTGGTAAGATACATGAAAATTAGTCAGAGCCAGCAATTTATTAAGCTAATTGGTTATTTATTTAGTTTTCCTTACTAAATATGTGCAAAAACAATTATTCAAATATTTTATCTTCTAATTTGGAGCTCCTAGGCAGCAATGAAGTTTCAAGTAACCAAAACTTGCTGCTGCTGCTTTAATATCTAATTAAACCCAACAAGTAAAAGCACTAAATCATCCTTTGGGTCTCAAACATAGAAAAAAATCTACACCAGTTATTTGCTATACTCTATAAGCCTAAAGCAAGCAAGATTTGAGGTATGGAGAGACTCTGTGAGGATCTTGTCTCGGGCATCCTTTTATGCTTGCCGACCAAATCCGCTGTCCGATTTAGATGTCTGAGCAAGTACTACGATGAAGTTGTGTCTGAGCCTAAGTTTGCTACCAATCATGCTCTGCGGTCGAAACCTGATCAGGTACAAGGTCTTCTTCGGTTTACAGGTAGGATGCCAGATAAAATACTCTACTATTCTTTTCATTCAAAACCAAATGGTAGCGTTCCTGAAGTTGTTCCCGTCAATTTTCAAATCATGGCTTCTTGCAATGGCCTTATTCTAGGTGTCTCTGATTCTGATCTTGCTGTTTGTAACCCTATTGTACCTGATAGCGTTCAGATTATACCAAAACTTGAAACCCCATATGGTAACAGTGGTTTAGGTTTGGCTTATGACCCAATTGGTTTCTCTTCACTTGATTTCAAGGTAGTTCATATTTATAAAAGAGAATCCGTGCATCTGCCAGAAAATACAGATGTTTATTGTTTTGAGATATTTGATTCAAGTGCAAACTCATGGAGAGAATCTAAACGCAAGCTGTTCTTGAGAAATTCAACTCAACTGCAACCTCATTTTTATGCGCTGAAAGGTCAAGCAGTGTACTTGAATGGACTTTTGCACTGGTTCAGGGCCTGTGGTGATATTCTTGTATTTGATGTAGAAAAAGAAGAAACTACACTCATTGGTATGCCTCCAATACTGCGAAAAGCATGGCGTCAGAATCAAAATTCTTCATGGTTCGGCGCTGCAGACTGTTTTCTTTATGTGGTGTATGTTTCCAGGAGACAAACTTTGACGTGGGTTCTTCTGGATTCTGAAACCAGCAAGTGGGGGCTTGTCAGGAACAATATCAAAGGGTTATCAAGAGTGTCTCATCCCATTTTCTTTGATGGTGAAAGGCTTGGTATGAAATGTGGGCCAAAGAAGAAATTGTTGCGTTTGTTCCATTTGAAGCAAGGGGAGTGGAAGAAAATTGGCAGGTTACCAAGGACTACAATCGATGACAAAGCTACCGTGTATGTTCCTTTCATCCCTACCTTAGCTCCTCTCAACAGCGGTGATCCTTCAAGTACTGGTGCACTTCAAATCCTTCCGAATATGAAGCCGATAAACAAGAAGTGCAAGAAAAGAAAACGAGACAGTGTCGACAGGAAGAAGGGCAAGAAGGAAAAACGTAAACCTTAATTGATCCAATCAACATTTTCCGGTTTAGAAATCATGGCAGGATTCCATATTTCAATGTGTTCGTTTCTTGGATTTCAAACTTCGTATTTCTTGTATTCAATAAGACTAATCATAGTGTTTTATTTTTCTTCTATGTATCTGCGTGCACAATGTAAGGAGGTTGCCTTGGACAAGAACTTGGTCTCATTGACCAGGCATGCAAAGAATGCTTATAGTGATTCAGATTATGTTTGTTCCTTAATTTTGTTTTATGACAATTTAAGTTGCAAGTTTGAGTTTGGATTGAATTTTGATTCAATTGAAGAGTAATTCTATTTTTTTCTACATTGTCAGACCCATAATGCTAGTGATCAACTTGTTCTATATATATATATCGAATTGTTTTTCATTAATATTAAGAAAATGTAATGAAGATAAAATACAATTATAGCAATGATACTTGGTTGTTGTTCTAAGGATAACCTATTGTTCACTAATAAATTTACTAGTTAAACTCATATTTCTATAATCAATTAGATATTACATCCTTCGATGCAATCGAGAGCAAATGCCAACGAAGAGATCGCTTGAATACCATTATTAGACTACTTATATCCTTTCTTAAAAAATATTGTATTTTAAAATTTTAACTATCAACTCATTTTTTCTTGTTCGCTAATAAATAGACCAGCTTAAACTCATGTTTCGCAATCAATTTGATATTATATCCTCGAATATAATTGGGTACAAATGCCAACGAAGAGATCGCTTGAATGCCATTATTGAACTATTTATATTTTTTCTCAGAAAAAATTATATTTTAAAATTCTAACGATCAACTTCTTTTTTCCAACTCGTCATTAATTATTGAGAAAAAGCAACAAAAATAAATTAAGAGCATGTTTTATTGCAATAGTAATTGATCGTTATTGTCTTAAAGTTATATGTTTCTTTATTCACTAGTAGATCGACTAATTAAACTCATCTTTCTATAATCAATTCTATCATCCAATCTAAGTAGCTAAATACAAATGACAACAAAGGTATTGTTTTTTTTCCTTGAAAAGGAAATTGGACACTTTATTTTTATTCAAAGCGATCAACTAGCCTTTTTTTCCAATTGTTTTCCATTATTAAGAAAATATAATGAAGATAAAGTATGAGTTTGTTTTATAGCAATTGTAATTAGTTGTTGTTGTTGTTTTTGTTTCAAAGGCAACGTATTCCCATATTTCTATTAACTTTTTATCATTGATAAATGGATTAGTTAAACTCATGTCTCTACAATCAATTTGATTTTAAATCCTCTAATCTAATCGAGTGCAAATGCCAACGAAAAGATGGCTTGAATACCATTATTGAACTACTTATTTTTTTCTTAAAAAAAATTTATATTTTAAAATTCCAATGACCGACTTGGTTTTTTCAAACTCGTCATTAATTATTAAGAAAACAACAACAAAGATAAAGAGAGAGCACGTTTTATTGCAAAAGTAATTGATCATTATTGTCTTAAAGTTATATGTTTTTGTAATTATTCACTGATAAATCGACTAATTAAATTCATGTTTCTATAATTAATTCAATCATACAATTTAACTAAATACAAATGCTAGCAAAGGTATTGTTTTCTTCTTGGAAAAGAAAATCGGACACTTTAATTTTTATTTCTATTGCAATAGAAGTATAACTATATTAAACTATGTTCATTCCGAATTAACTTGGTTGCAATTCTTATCGATCAATCAAATCTAATCACTCGATGAGATGGTACCTTTCTTATAATTGATAATGGCTTGATAATATCAATAGATTGATGAGATTTCATAGCAATGGAAAACTTCTCTATAACTCCATAAAGGCAGTAAACTTGACATAGCCAAAAATCACTAAGAAATCCTATAAGATAACAGTTTTCTAAATGCTCTTCACTAGTTAAGCAATAAAAGACACAAATCTGAGGAAATTTAGATGGAATGTCAATAATATAATGTACTATTTAACATATTGAGGAAAAAAATATCATCGAAGTCGTTGTAGTATAGTGGTGAGTATTCCCGCCTGTCACGCGGGTGACCCGGGTTCGATCCCCGGCAACGGCGTTTGTATCTTTTTAACGTTTCATCTTCTTTTCTCTGGGTTTTGCGAATCGAAAAATAAGGCCCCGGAGACATCCGTCCCATTTACATCCATAACATGATTTAGCCTGTAGCTCCTTAATGCTGCTAGCATATTAGTGCATCAGATCATGTTTTGCTTTGTATATTTATTTATTTATTTTTTTAACAAAGGGTAAAATGTGGCAAACATTTAAAACTACTGGTCAAAGCCTACATAAATTATAGTACTTGAAGAATTTATTTACTGCCAATTCATTGAACAAAATTAGGAATTTAATTTTTGAGCTAATTTTCACATCAATAATAAGATATTCTTGAACTAATTTTTACATCCGATAAAAATAAATCAATCACTTTTCGAACTAAATCGACATGTAATATATGTAATATTTTTTCGATTTCGACTACTAAACGGTCTCTTAAACTAAACAGTCTAATATAATTAAAAAATAATCATAACTAATTATGCATAGATAATAGAAGTTGGACTTTAGTCTTGTCAAACCAAAATAATTCTTCTTACACTTAGACTACATTATTTAATGATTAATTAAGTCTTGTGTTAATTAAATCTAGATGTCTATTCCTTGAACAATATTGAAAATTTAATTAAGTCATTTTATAAAGTAAAATTAGGTTTTTTTCCTATTGTTGTTAACTCAAAATTTATGAGATGTACATGTATGATATCAACCCTTGAATCCTTATGGTGGACTCAATTTTGGGTCGGATTTAACCATTGATAAAAGATTTTTAAGGTTTATTTTGATAAAAAGAAATATAATTAATATTTTAATTAATTAAACTGGTTACATATTTTTGTCCGAATTTTACAACAGATGGAAACTGAGAGGAAGGAAGTTTATATTACTGAAAACTCTGCGGTTGCTTCGATTTCAAAAAAGTCGTTGTAGTATAGTGGTGAGTATTCCCGCCTGTCACGCGGGTGACCCGGGTTCGATCCCCGGCAACGGCGTTTTTGCTGTTTTTTTTTTTTCCCTCTTGGCTTTTGCAAATTCGGCGAATAAGACCTAAGGCCCATTAATGTTGTTCGGTATCAGTGCATCGAAAGCAAAATGGAACACATTATTTAGTGCCGATTGAACGAACAAAATTAGAAATTTAATCAGGTCTTCAGTTAACTAAACCTGGACTTTTATTCCTTGAACAAAATTGGAAATATAATTAGCTAGGTCATTCTCTAAATTAAAATTAAATTTCCTTCCAATTGGTGTGTGATATTCAACCCTTTAATCCTAACTGACCCGAGACAAACATTGATTGGTACATTTTGGGTCAGATTTAACCATTGACAAAATATGTGGGATGCACATTCTCGAGTAATCTTAGAGGCACAGTCTTCACATCAGCCTGCTTATTATGTTTGAATCTAGGTAATCAAAGGGTAGAGCAAACTTACTTAACCACTAGAACAATTCATTGAAGTTAAATAAACTAATATTATTAATTCAAGAATTTACAACCAAAACAAAATGCTACTATGTTAAAAATTTTGATTAACAAATTAAAGTAGAATTTGAACCTAAGATCTCACCCTAATTAACTAATTAATTCGTATTTTCATATGTCAAGCCGAAGAACCCTAAGAGCACCGGTAATATGACCATCCAAGCCACTTAATTTCTGGGTCATGATCAGTCATGGCTACTGAATTATCCTGAGGAAGGCTTACCATAAAAGAGTGTGTCCAAATGAAAGAGTGTCAAACCAAGTGTTCCTAGGAAGCATTCCACGCTTCCACACCAACACTTTGCTGCTGCTTCCATATCTTAACCTAGAAAGTAAAAGCAGTAGACCAAAACCTTGTTCCCAGAATCCAAAAAACCTACACACCATTTCTATGGAGACACTGTGTGAGAATCTTATCTCGAGCATCCTTTTATGCTTGCCAACCAAATCTGTTGTCCGATTTAGAAGTATGAGCAAGTACTACGATCAACTTGTGTCTGAACCTAGGTTTGCCACCAATCATGCTCTTCGATCAAACCCTGATCAGGTACATGGTCTTCTTCGGTTTACAAGTAGGAATCCAGATAAAATGCTCTTCTATTCTTTTCATTCGAAACCAAATAGTAGAATTCCTGAAGTTGTTCCAGTAAATTTTCAAGTCATGGCTTCTTGCAATGGTCTTATTCTAGATCTCTCTGATTCTGGTCTTTCTGTTAGTAACCCTGTTGCACCTGATAGAATTCAGATTATACCAAAACTTGAAACCCCATATGGTGAATATTGTGATTTAGGTTTGGCTTATGACCCAATTGGTTTCTCTCCACTTGAATTCAAGTTAGTTCATGTTTTTAGAAAACAAATGTTGAATATTCCAGACGATGAAGATGTTTATGGTTTGAAGATATTTGATTCAATTGCAAACTCATGGAGAGAATCTAAACCCAAGATGTTCGTGAGAAATTCATTTCAAATGGAATCTGATTTTTATGAGCTGAAAGTTCAAGCAGTGTACTTGAATGGACTTTTGCACTGGTTCAGGGCCTGTGGTCATATTGTTGTATTTAATGTAGAAAATGAAGAAGCTACGCTTATTAAGATGCCTCGAGAAATGCGAAAAGCATGGCTTGACAATCAAGATTCTCCGTGGTTCGGAGCTGCAGACGGTTTTCTTTATGTGGTATATGTTTCCAAGAGACAAATTCTGACGTGGGCTCTCCTTGATCATGAAACCAGCAAGGTGGGGCTCGTCAGGAACAATATCAAAGGGTTGTCAAGAATGTCTCATCCCATTTTCTTTGATGGTGAAAGGATTGTTCTGAAATGTGGTCCAAAGAAGAAATTGTTGCGTTTGTTCCATTTGAAGCAGGAGGAGTGGAAGAAAATTGGCAGGTTACCAAGGACTACAATGGATGACAATACTACCGTGTATGTTCCCTTCATCCCTACCTTAGCTCCTCTCAGCAGCGATAATCCTTCAAGTACTGGTTCACTTCTAATCCTTCCCAATAAGATGCCGATAAACAAGAAGTGCAAGAAAAGAAAACGAGACAGTGTCGACAGGAAATAGAACCAGGAGCAAGAAAATATACCCCCGACCCCATCAACATTTTCCGGTTTAGAAATCATGGCAGGATTCCATATTTCAATGTGTTCATTTCTTGGATTTCAAACTTTGTATTCCTTGTATTCAATAAGACTAATTATAGTGTTTTCTTTTTCTTCTATGTATCTGTGTGCACAAATGTGAGGAGGTTGTCTTGAACAAGAACTTGGTTATCAAGACTAATTTGCTACTTAGCATAACTTATGAGCATATTGCTTTTTGTTTTTTTAGTTCAATTAATTAGCTCATATTTTATAGTGATTTAGATTATCTTTCTTTCTTATTTTTTTTATGGAAATTGTCAATTGCAAGGTTGAGTTCGGAATGAAATTTCGATTCATTTGAAGAGTAAGTCTATCTTTTTCTATTCCAAGTTCCGAAGTTCTAATGATCGGCTAGGTTTTTTCAAATTGTCTTTCATCAGCAAGAAAAGACAATGAAAATAAAATATAAGCTTGTATTACATCAATAGTACTAATTAATTGTAGTTATATATTTTAAAGGCAATCTATTCACCTGTCTAGATATTATTTTCTTTGTTCGTTAATAAATAAACTACTTAAACTCATGTTTTTATTATCAATTCAATAATAATTAGATTTTTTAATTCATTCGATCGCAAACGCTAATGAAGAGATTCGGGTGGATACAACTATTGGACTAGTTATACTCTTTCTTGAAAAAGAAAATTAATTATTACACTTTAATTTTTGTTTCAAAATAATTATGAGTAATAAAATCTTCACTAAATTAATAGACTTTTTGATTCAAATTAAGCAGCGATATATATCAATCAAATCCAATAATTAGTTGAGGTTGTACCTAGTCTATATATATTTATAGATATGGCTTGATATGTATGAAAAAATTAACAGCCAGGAAAAAGAGATTCCATCAATCAGATGTTGCATATACAGATTTCTAAATATTTTTCATCATTCAAGCAATAAAAGATTCGAACATGAGGGAATTTTGAGTATTGTAGATAGCATTGTAAATTTGTTTTATACTTTAAATAAGAATGTGAGAAAATCAATAAAGTCGTTGTAGTATAGTGGTGAGTATTCCCGCCTGTCACGCGGGTGACCCGGGTTCGATCCCCGGCAACGGCGATTTTTTTTCCTTTTCCCGTCCGATTATTGCGTTTTGGAAAATGAATTCCAGCAGAGATGGACTTAGCTTGCCTCTATTAGCCGGACCTTGCCCATGTACATCCAAAGCAGGAGTGCTTAAACATTATCTACCCATTCGTTCAGTTCAAAACAAAACTAACTTGAGAATGCCATTATCAATAACTATCGAGTCTACACAAGTTATTAGCCATTCAATGTTGCTGTAAACCCTATGTCTTTTGGCGATTGCACTAATGTGGAGGTTAGCAAGAGAGGGTTAAGGAAAAAACTGCACAAGGAAAAAGGGAAAGTTTAATGCAAAGAACCTAAATCTATTCATCTGGAAAAACAAATCACCATTCCCTCATTTTAGTGACCTAAGGAGACCTAGAAGAATATTGGTTTTGTTGAGAATCGCTTGGAACAAACACAGGAAGTTGGCCACCCCTCTGTGATCTGCCCTGCTGATAATGACTTGAGGTAGATCGTCTATCCTGGCTCTGAGTCAGTGAACTACCAGTTCTTGTCCCTCTGCTTAGCTGCTCATTGACAAGAGGGCCTCCAAAAAATATAGATTGATCTGTGTACAAAAGCTCTGTTCCCCGAACCTGGGATGAAGAGCCAGCACCTCTTGAAGAAGAGACAAAGCGTCCAGCTTCTGGATCCCAATAAACTGTTGTTCTCGTATTCTCAGCTGCACCTAAGTTTCTTCTCACAGGAATTTGCACTGCATTCTCACGAACAGGATTCATGTTTGCTTCACTTTGTCTTGCGGACCAAGGAGATTGATCTGCTGATGTCTGATAAATGGGGTTGAAGTGGTCTCTGTTTGATGTTTGCTGCTGTATTGGGGAAGTGGCAAGTTTGGAGACATTAGCACTACTAAAGTTGCCAAGACTCTGGCGGCATGATTCAATATCATCCCTGCTAGCATGACTAGCATTGCTGGCTGGATATGAGTTAGTCCTGGAAGGAGATAGATCTGGCGCCACTGCTCTAGTGTTTTTATTTTGAAACCCTTGATGAGTACTGATTGGACTGCTCCTTCCACTAACGTTGCTACTGGATAAATGATCAGCATCATAAGGGTTGTATCGAGAACCTAAGGGGCGCAGCACAGATGATGATGCTCTAGCCTTTGCACCTGCTTTAATAGCCTCACTGGAATCCAATTTTGCAAGTTTCCATGCACTGATTCGAACTGGACGCTGTGGTAACTTTTTGGCTTTGTCAGCTTCTTGTGTTGCATCTGGATCAACTGTGGATGGTAGGCGTCCTGGCTCCAAATGTGGAATAATTTCGTCCTGCTCATTAAAAACCCAAAACTAATCAAATTCCAACCTCATTTTGTTCAAGGATTAAGGAAAGAGAATCCAAAATAACAAAGGATGTAATTACTACATGCAGATCACATAGCAAATTATAACCAAAAGCAACCAAATTCTACCTTAATTATGTCGAAGTTCCTCATTGATGGAACAATAAATAGTGAATAATAATTGTAGTTCAAATTTACCTTTTCAGAGACAATTTTCTTTGTGATAATTTCATGTGGTACTTATGAGAACTGAGAAGAATTAAGCTACTCTTAAGTTCAACATAGTCAACACCAACTTTTCATGATAACTTGATTAGGACAGATATGGCACCTGGTTGTCCATGAAGATTCTTGGAGGGGTACACCAAGCACCTTTATATTGCAAACTCATTCCTATAGAACTTCTTCCGCTCACTGCAGTAACAGCTGAACTGGTTGGCGAAGATGGCAGACTTTGCTGCTCTCCTCCATCAACAGATGGTCCAGGTGGTTCACTCTGACTTCTCATGGCAACTACATACTCATATGTTGTTATACCCTGCAACAATGAAGTACTTCACTAATTGCATATTACAATAGGGGCAAATATAGTAAGAGAGGAGGCAAGGCTATTTTATGAACACACCTTTCGAATCAGAATCACATGAAAAAAAAATAGTTCTCCCAGAGGCACAGTGGCAAGCAAAGATACGAATGTGCACAGGGCCTGTATCCATTAATAAGTTAACATCATAGAATATAATAGCATAGCATTAACAACAAGAAATGTTATTGTTCTAAAATCCATAGTATGCTACAGTTTGACCCCTAAGAAATTCTGAATCATACATGTATTTACTAAACATATGCAAAATGACGAAAAATCTATAACTCAATGTTCCCAAAGCAAGAAAAGACCACAATTAAGTTTGTTTATAAATTTTAAAGTTCCATTCCAATCAACATGACCAAAATATTATGTTTATATACAGATCTTATATCTATCAACAGAGAAATTGGGAAATATACCACAACTGTAGCAAAGGGGGGCGCGAGAATCCATTGCCAAGTTTCTCCACTATTTGATGGTCCACGCCCTTTCTATTTACAAAGCACCGAATAAGGACAGCAACACCAACTCCGAATTCAACCATAAGCTGACAGCAAAACACAAAGATAGATGAATAAGAGGAAACATATTGTGTTTGAATCTGGCGAACATATCTGATACAAGTAAAACATGATGCAAGAAAAATAAGGAAATAACAAATCACAAATTATATCTGAAATTTTACCCAGACAAGGCTTGTTGCCATAAGAGAAACAAATGTTATGTAGTTTTTTCTCCCTACACAATTGTTCAACCACTGCATCATTGAACAGATATTTCATCAGCCCAGTATTGCAAAAGCAAAGAGGATAGGAAAGAACGAGGATGAACATCTAAAACTCACCCGGCAGTGATGATCAAATCCATCAACGCATTTGTCACAACTTCTGCAATGTTTGCTGAACTTGCGTACCTAGAAATAAAAAATAAGCACCGTGATATTGGAAGCTATATTCAAAAAGAAAAATGTGGAGGGCAAAGGAACACACACTCCTACAAAATGTTACTCTTCCCTGGCATAAACCTAATAATTCTTCAACTACGGGTAACTAAACCAGTAATTACGACTTCCTTGACTGGTTGACATCTTTCCTTCTTCTTTTCACCCTTATTTTTCCTTTTCCTTCTAATTTTTGTGTGTGCATGGTTTGTGGGCAAACCCCTTTTCTGGAGGGAGGGGTTTCCATAAAAAGGTAACTCTATCTCAGGCAATCAAAATAAAACCTTAAGCAATAACCATGTACCTCCGCATTGCACAATGTACAGAACAAAGCCTCCTCTCCAGATTCTTGCTGAAGAATATCTTCATCTTTTCGGCAATCTTGTTTCACAAGAAAACAACAAAAGAAACCTCTGAGTCTTGAACACCAACTTGAACCGTATTTATTGGATTTTCCTCCATTCTTTAACCTTATCTTGCTAGGTTCTTCAGCAGAATTTCCTGATCAAAGACCATGAAGATTCTATAATTTTTTTATGAAAAAGGAAAAAGCTTATATCCTCAATAGAAGTTTCATAACTCCACAGAGGACAATTTGTTTATTTCAATAGAAAGGCTGAGCAATTGCTCACCTGCATCTGCCATTTAAGTGATAAAAACTCGGAGAAACCAAAAAGACTAAAGAAACTTTCAGGTTAGACTTTAGACACAATAGCATGATCATCAGCGCATCTAGATAAAATTTCAGAATGCTAACTCAAGTTTCCTTTCTAATGGTACAAAAGGCGCATGCTACTGCTTGGGTGTTTCATTATCCTTATTACGCACTACCAATCAAATGATTGACTCCAATCTAAATTTGCAATCCATAAATTTTCTAGTGAGAGAACTGCATGGAAAGCAGACTAACCAGGCAGATCTGTCTTATTTTCTGATTTATGGCCTGCTGTCTCGTCAGCTTCTACTAAAATTCCAGGATCAGCCGGATCAATTGCAGTGCATCGTACATAAAGAATAAATACAGAGAGCGCCTGAGAATTAATCAGAAAAGGCAGCAAAAGCAATGAGGTAACAAAAGCCCAAAACAAGAATTCAAATCAATCATTAAAGAAAAAAGTTAAAGGGTGTGGTCATGCTTACCAAGACAGAATAAACACCAATAGCCACATATTCATAGATGTCCTTCCCAAGAAAGGGAGCAAAAAAGGCATAGAATGCAACAGATAGCAGGAGGAAAACTGTTATAGCCACAATCTGTGCATCATGAAACTTTCAAACATCAGTACATTAATCTTTTTGGGAAAACAACAATGCATGCCTTCATCAAATTTATTCACAAACGTCCCCAAGATACGGAACCAAAGATCTTCAAACTCATGCCGAACACGAGCATGCATACACTGTCTACACCATTAACAGTTTGCCAAATACTACTAATCACTATCTACATTCTACTCATATGAACTTTAACTAGTAACATTTGACTTTGTTTTCTTATCACAACAACTCAAGTAGGTCCCTCCTTGACTAGACTAACCTTGCTTATCTTAGAAAATGAGCAACATGGATCATAAGTAGAACAGATTTATGCAAATTACAATAACGCAAGGTCACATCACGCGAACTCGACTAAATTAAGCCTATTACAACAACTATTTGGTTCAGAAATTAAAAGTTCAACTGCCCACTTATCTCTAAACCAAGCCAAACAAAATTCTATATTCAAATTTGGACACCCCAAAGTAGAAACAGATACAAATCTGTCTAACAATTCCACTACAGTAATTTTTTTAATGAAAAAAAAATCCAAAAGTCCATAATTAGAAACATATAAAATTTGACACTAACTAACTAAAAAGACAAAAACCCTACAATTATAACTCAAAAATAATAATAATAATAATAAAACACTCATAATCTGAACAAAAACGTACCAAATAAAGAGGGAAAGAAAAGTACCTGAAAAGTATGAACAGGGAGTTGCCATCCATTACGCCTAGCCATTATTTAAAAAACGAAGTTCAAATTTGTTAATCAAAACCGCCTACACTCTAAGCCCACCATTTTCAGTAACTGTCACTAAAAACATTAAGTAAATCTATGTGAAAAAAAAAAAAAAATCATTTTTAAAACTGTTGCATTTCTTTCTATTTTACTGTAGTTTAGTGAAGTAAAATGGGTTCACAATGGAGATGGAAAATTGGAGTTTTATTAGGGTTTGTAGAGTTGGATTCGTTGATAACAGAGAGAGAGACTCGGAGGAGGAGGAGAGGAGAAATTTTTTTAAACTAAAAGACTGAATTAGACTACACTTTGAGTATGAAAATGCGTTTTTATTTTTATTTTTTATTTCAACACCGGTTTTTGTGCAACGATTTGATTTTAATAAAGGAAATATACTTAATTTTCTTACTAAAATTTTTTTATTAAGTGACGTGGCATGATGCTATTGGAATTTTATTAATTATCTCCTTAATCATAACTATTCCATTAAATATCATAAGGTCCTCCCTTTCGTGATTTAAAATTATTTTTTTAATAAATTGATTTAGACTACACTTTAAGTGTGAAAACGCATTTCCGAGATATACTTAATTTTTTTAATAAATTATTTTTTTATGTAATTGGTATTTTATCAATTCCTTAATTTTTTTAATTATGATTACCCCGTTAAATATCATAAGATCTCTATTTTTTGATTTGAAATTATTTCCATATCATATGACTTGGTGAGAAAAATGGATTTTCTTACATTTAAATTTTTTAAAAATTTTTAATTAAATATTTTATTTTTTTAATTTCATTGAAACTTTCTATTTTTGGAGATTTTTTTTATATAATTTTACTAATTAGTAAACCCAGATCTTTGCTGGATTTTTTATTTTAAAATACCATGTGTTGATTATTAAAAAAAATTGAAAAATACAAGGTTCAAATGAGGAAAAAAAAATTACTAAAAAATTTTAGTATATACTGTTTTTGCCCAGCTTGGTTAGATTGGTAAGCCTAATTGTGCTGCCTAAGGCCATTAACCATTATTAAATTAATATGTGCCTGCTGTTTTATTCAACATGACTGAGATTTTTGCCCAAAAAGGTTCCTTTGTTTTATTGCAAATGCTTTCACGACAAGCCTTCTAGTTATTTCTTTAATACAAGAGGGCAAATATGCACTTTCCTTTTTCTGTGTAGAATATTCATCCACTGTCTCTCTAAAATCGAAATCATTTGGAATCTTTATAATTTTTTTATTTATTTCTCCATTGGGAAAATTAAAAAAAAAATCTTATTTTATTATCATTAAAGAATTTAATCTTTAAAATTTATTTATTTATTTATTTATTTTGTATTTTGATTATTTATTTATAAGTTTTTTATTCTCAAAGTTTTCAAAAAAATATTTTAATCTTTAATATTTAAATTTTATGCAATTAGATTCATACATGTTAATAAAAAAAATCAAAATAAATTAGTTGATATTAATAGGATAAAAAGTGAGTATTTTATCTAAAATTATATTAATTGATATGTATTTTATCTACTTTAATATCCTTCGGATATTTATTAAGAGATATTTATTAAATCAAGTGAAGTGGATATTTGTTTTATATCCAGTACATTCCTAGACTAATTAGTTACGACAATAAATAGGGTTTAATTTTGACTATACTAACAATCGAATTCATAAAGGGGAAAGTCAGGGTCAGGCATCCGTCAAAGTCTTGCAAAAGAAAAATCAGCACTATTTGCTTCAATGTTTTCTTGATGGTGATCTTGTTTTCTTGACTCGTGCCCATCATGAGCGGAACCGTCAAACTCCGAGAGGTCAGTATCGGACGGTTGAGACATTGCCGAACTCATGACACTTTCAACGTCAGGTGGACTTGGCCGATAGTTGTGAAGCAGATGTATTGGCGATGAATTTCGGCTTGGTGTGGAATCATTACTCATGAACCCTTGACTAGAACCACCTTCACCTCCTGTTTTTCTTGTCTTGTGTCTTAGCTTTGCTGCCTTTTGCCATTTTCTAAGTGCTTTTGCTGTTTGTTCTTCAAATATTGCTTTCTTCATGTGAGAACCCATCTGTTTAAAAATGAATGGTAATTAAAGTTTTTTTTTAAAAAAAAAGAATAGAGAGGAAACATGATTAAGATAGAAACTTGTAATATTAATAGTGCAATTTAACATCGTTAACAAAAAAATTAACAAAAGAATACAACTAAGACTGAAACAAAACGTAAAAACACGAATTTAACACAATAAAGATTGAAAAAAACATAGAGAGGGAACATGATTAAGACAGAAACTTATAATATTAATAGTGCAATTTAACATCGTTAATAAAATATTAACGAAAGAATACAACTAAGACCGAAACAAAACGTAAAAACACGAATTTAAGACAATAAATATGAAAAAAGAATAAAAAAACACATGCAACTATTGAAGGATTTACTCACTTGTGTTACCAATGAATAAAGAGGGAAGGTTATGTAGCTACATACGAACTGAAGGATCAATCCAAGGAAGACCCTTGTCAGAATCACTGCCAAGTTTTCATGGAAACAGGATTTGATCCCGAATTCATACTGTCATCAAAATAGACTCCTTAGAAGGCTGCTTTCTTACATGAAATTAAGGTGATTAATTATGAAAGAATCAAATAATTGAAAGTACTAGATTACTAGCAAGTCTTTACGTACCCATGTCCACAAGAAAAATGCCATTTGAAACGCATTCTGTACAAAAATAAATAAATCAGCATTAGTTAGTTGGTCTTTTTTTTTTTTTTTTTTTCCAAGTTTAGGATTTGATTAGCAATGGAGGAGTGAATTATAAATTAGTCTCTTTTGTTTAGAAAAACGAACTAACTAGTCTCTTTTCTTTAAAAATTAATTATTTATGTATGTTATAATTCCGTCAATAATTTAGTTTTTTTTTTATCAATTTTCCTTAGATTAGTGATTTTTTATTTTCAAATTGTACTTATTTTGATTTTTATTAAGTAGAGAGAAAAATGATAGATGAAGTAGAGAAATAAGACATTAAATAAAGATAATTTGAGAAAAAAAATCATCAATCTAACAAAAAATCGATAAGAATAACTAAATTATTAATGGATTAGGAAAAAAAACTAAATGATAAGTTTTTTTTTAAAAAAAAACTAATTAATTCGTTTTTTTTTAAAAAAAGAAGAAATAGTTTATAATTGACTCAGCAATAGTGATACGTTATTTGCAATTTCAAGAAATTTAAGTACTATTGACTAATGATTAAATACCTGAAACAATGTGTAATGTATTAAGAGGAGAATCCAATGGGGTCGATTAAACCAGAAAAATTTGTTGTTAGGCTCAACCACTGGAGCTCCTCTAATAACATGACTTCTGTCTTGCATTTCTCGAGCCATTTCCATGATAACAAGTTCGAGCTTAGTACCCACCAAAAGAAGTATCTGCGCATTTGCACGGTGAGTAGATGCAAAGAAGATAAATAAATATTTGGGTTAATATCTAATCTATTCTTATATAATAAGTTAATTTTTTAATTAATTTTTATATTTTTAATTAAATCAATTTAATTTTTGAACATGGGTTAAGTTTTTAATTTATTATTTTGTTAAAATTTTCAGGTCAAATTGTCGAAACTATTTACATGACATGAACAAATTTTTTTTTTTTCAAAATACTCTTGCAAACTTGACAATTAAAAAGTTTTCGTCTGCAAATCAGTGGTTAATTATGATAATTTAGTCAACAAATTTTATTAAAATGATAGATTAAACACTCACTATATGTTTAAAAATAAAATAATTTAATTAGAAATATGAAAATAAATTGAGTTTTATTTAGCATCAAATGTGCATTTCTTACCACAAGAGGCACAACTGTTAACCAGGTGAATGTGTACCATTCTGCACCATTAACGAGTCAAGTTATGACCCTTAAATATTATCACAATCAAAAGGAGATAGAATGAGAGAGTAAAGAGGTTTACTGTAGACATTTAACAGCAAAAAGAGGATGGCACAAATCCACAGTGGCATGCTGTAAAATCATTAATAAGTTGACTGTTAGCATGGAGGCCGGAGCTCACTGCTTGCAGGACGGTTTAATAGCATATTTTACCCTTAAACTACTAGAATTATGAAAAAAATAAATTTTGATCAATTTGGTTTATTTTGTACACAAATTATTATTTTTGAATAAATTATATTCTTCAGCCTAATTGAAGAGTTAAGATCAATGAGAAATTTTATAATACTCAATGAATAATTAGTATACATTATAGTAATTACTCTACGAGCTTACTTTTGAAAAAAAAATAAACACATATAAAAAAAATCCGGATCCATAAAAGAGATAAGAAGATTTTCATCTTTCCTTAATTTTTTTTTAATTTTCTTTTTCTTTTTGTGTTTATCTCTCTTTATGGAGCAACTTCCATTAATTACTCATTGAGTATTATAAAATTTCTTTTAATTAACGATCAAACTTTAACTATTAATTGAAAAGGTCAAAACGACGTAGTTTTTATTTTTTTACACAAAATTATTTTCAAAAAAATATTTAAAAAAGGCAAACAATAAGCGACGCGTTCATAAAATCTCAACTTAAAAGTTGAAACTTAATTAAAGAGATCAAAATTTGATCCGTTAGTCTTAACTGCTCAATCTAACAGAAAGACATAATTTGCGTAAAAGAATAACAATACGGGGACAACATTGACCAAATTAATAGTTTATTCCTTATTTTATCTCAACTCTAATAATTTAGAGGTAAAATATGCCATTAAACACTTTGATGACTGTTTGTCTAAGAGAGTACCTAATACCCACGACCACCTTGAAGTCATCTTCCATACATCTTTTGATGTACTTGTGGAAATCAAATTTGCTGCTTGGAGCTAAGTGTGCCTGCACTGCCACTCGTTAATCGGCTGGTTCACAGCTGGGCTGGAAACATTAGCCATCAAATCTCTAATTAAGATGAAGTTGTCAACTTACATTGATAAATCCATGTCTAATGGTCAAGTAATCCACCTTTGTCACTGAACCAGTGAATTGCCTAAAGAATGCAACCTGCCAGATGAATATTATTACAATGAACATGGACCACCCCCAATCAAGAGTAAATTATTTGTCCTAGTCAAAATCTATATTATTTTTTTTATTCATCGAAAATCCAATTGACCTATTTGGTTATATAATGAGGACAGACTTTTCTCATTACGGAATCATTAAAAAAATTAAAATTATCGGGATTCGAATCTTGTTTCGCTATAAAAGCTAACTTGATACACAATTACTAAGGTAAATCTACTCATGTCAAGATCTATATTTTTCAGTTCAATAGACAAAATAGAATAAATTATTCTCTAGTACTTGGGTTTGAACATAACTATAACCTAGTTCTTCACATTTAAGAACTTATAGTTTAATGCCTTGACTTCATCTTTCTTTGTTTTTTTTTTTTTTTTTTCACTTTTTCTCTGAAGGATTGTAGTTTTTTTCGGTGGGAATTTAAATCTCCAAATGGTAAATTTGAGATCAAGAAAAAACCATAAGAGTCAAGGGACTAAGTTACAAGTTTTCAACATTAAAAGTCGAAACCTTCTTTAAACTTCAAATTCTTTGAAAATCAAAATCTCAATTTTTAATTTCAGATTGGACCTCCTTCTTCTTAGGTTTATGTCAATTTTAATGGTGTAAATATACTCGATTTGTACATCTTTAACTTTCTAACTTTTTTGATAGTTAAAAATATGTCAAATTTATAGAAGTTTTGTTTTTCTACACCACAACTTATTTTTTAAAAAAATATTTTTTAATTATTAACTTCTTTGCATTTAGAAAAAAAAATTTTTTGAGAAAAAAAATATTTAAAAACTTTAACGTATTTTTACTTACTGAAAAACTGTATTTACATGTTAGAATTGATGAAAATCTAATAGAAAGATTTAATTTAAAAAAAGAAAATAATTGGAAGAATGTCAAATCTGAGATTAAAAATTGAATAATTGATTCTTAAATAACTTAAAATTCAAGAGAGTTTTAGACTGTTTAGACAGTTTTCAAACCTAAAAAAATAGGCTATAATCTCATTCAAAATATATAATGGCATGAATAACAGGTTCACTTGGACAAATTGAGAAAGAAATGTCTTAGCGTACAATCCATTTGATCCCCGGGGCCGTGGAGATGCCAGAATGCCGCTTCACAAAGGAGGTCTGTCGAGCCAGTCTAAATCTTGTTGGATCTGAAAATTTTAACAAAGCCCATGAAAGCTAAAATGGGCTGAGGCAAATCTGTAAATAGCTAAATCTATTTTTATATACTTAGCCATGTTTTTATCATGTCATTATATTGTTATATTCATCTATTATATCTTTATATAGTATTTAATTTTTCAATATATCCTTCACTCAATTTTTTTTCCATTTAAATTGATAAAATTATACTTTTCATTCTAAAGTTAATCTTGAGTTATATAAGAATATAGTACAATTTTTTTTTTCAAAATTACTCACGATATTTTGAGAAAAAGTTTCACATCTCGACCATTAAAATTTTTAAAAAATAAATATTTAATTTATTTTCACAAAGTCAAAACTATATTCTTGTATAGTTTAATTGTATTTTTAGAACGTAAAATATAATTATGTCAATTTGAATTAAAAAATAACAATAAAAAACAGATTAAAGAATTAAATATTGTATAATAAGGTAATAGACGTAATTAAAAATATAAAAATGTATTAGATTTATATCAGGGTTTCATAAGAATTACCGTTAGTAAATTGGTATTCCAAAGACGATGTCTCTAATTCCCAAGCCTTCCATTTCTTCATCTGATTAGCAAACCAATTAGCAAATTCATTAGGTACGTCTAGCATAATTTTTTTAAGCTAAATAAAACTAACCCTTCTTATGTAGCTTATTAGGTTATATAAAAAATCAAGAAAAAACATTTGCAGAGAGCTTAATATGGAAATTACTTTTGCTTGCCCCAGTGCCATGGTAATGACACTGTAGAGGACATGAAAAATGGCAAGAACAAATAGAAATATATGCAATTGGTGCACTCCTGTTTGCGAAATCAAAGACACCTTATCCTGTAACCACATCAGGAGAAAAAGATTAATCAATCATATGTCCACCTCTAGAATATTAAGTAAATCTTTGCATAATTAAAAAAAAAAAAAAAACCTATCCTAGTTTTGAAAACGGATTTTACGAATATCAAGATTTCGTACAATTTGAATTTTTTTTATTGAGATCCTAAATTTATTTTATGTCCAATTTAAGAATTCGACTCTTATATTGTTTTTGTTTTAGATCCTAATATGTCACATAAGCACGTTAAGCTTTAGTTAATGACGAGTTAGTCACGTTTATATTCTAATTAATGATAACTTGTTATGTCACTAATTCAATCACGAATTCAATGACACGTGACAAGTTATTATTGATCGAGCTTACCGCGTATGCTTATATGACATATTAGGATTTGAAACACTAATAACATAAGAGTAAAACTTTTAGATTAAATATAAAAATAAACTTAGAATTTCAATTAAAAAAATTCGAATCATATAAAGTTTTGATACGTGCAAAACCTTTTGTCTATGCCTACCTTAGAGCAATAGTCATCACCACCACCGGCTGCTGCCAAAACTCGAGGCATTGCTACATTTCCAGCAAACGAAAGTAGCTTCCTCTTGCTATCTCCTTCATGGTCATATTCACCACCTCCTTTACCAACATTTTTATCTTTATAGTTGTCCTCCTCGTAGTCATTTTTGCAGGGAAGCATAGCGTCTGCATATTTGGCAGGGATGCATATCTTCAAAATAGTTCTTGTACCCACAGTAAGAAGCAAGGATATGAAGCCTAGCAGCATTAATTCTGTGACGAAACAATAGATTCGTCAGATTAAACTAAAAAGAATCCAAAACACCTGTCGCCAAAAACTTCCTCAAAAAATGTTGTTTCTTCCTACTCTCTAGCAGCGTTGAAAATACTGACCGGCTTTAATCTTCTCCAGAGCTTCGCTCATGGCCTTCTTCTGACGTTTTTGAAACCACTGTAGTATGCATCATGATACAAATTACTCAAAAACGAAAATAAAAAGTTACTCAATTTAGAGATATGTGTAGGTTTTTAAGCCATTTCGAGAATCACCCACCTTTCCTAACGAATGGATGGCGTGCTCGATCAGAACAGATATGACGACAAACACTGCACAAACCGCCGCCACAGCCCATGTAGGTGTGTCCTGCAAGGTCTTGTCTCCATAAGCACCAGCTGCCATAGTTGCTGTCCAAATTGCACTTGATTCAAACACTTGCTAAAACGTGAAATTTGGCAAATTTGCAATAATTCTTGGGCAAATTTATGGAACCTAAAGACCAATCATGTAAATTGGCTGTAAATTTATGCTTAAAATTTGCCACCAATAACGCGTTTTAAATTTGTGTAATAAAACTTGTCATATACCCAATGTTTTTCATTACATGCGGCCAAAAATATTAGTTGGTCCTTTAAAGTTCCGTCACTTGGATCCTTGACATGAGCCGGCTTGGTCAAAGACAATAGTGTTGATCCAACCATTGTCTTGAGTATACTTACAATGCAATAAACATTATATATATATATATATATATATATATGAGTAAATTATAAATTAGAACCTCTAGTTTTGAAGAACGAATTAATTAGTCTTTTTTTTCAAATATTAATTATTTAGTTTTTTTCTATTTTATGTTTTTTTAATTTATTATGTTTTTTTTAAAGAAAAAAATTTAAGAGTGCTACTAAATTTGCCATCAATTTTATTTTTTATTTTCACCACTTATTTTTAAAAAATTGCCAATACACTTTCTCGTTAATGTCTGTTGTTGTATCATGATTAAATATATTTTATATCAAATAACTAAAATATCTAAAATTTAAATGTGTATAGAAGCAAAAGTAGATTCACTAAAAAGCAAAATGTTGATGGGAGTTTTTTTAAATACTTGATATAAAACATGTTTAATTCTGATATAGTAACAAATATTTATGGGATGATGTGTTAGTAATTAAAAAATAAACAAATGGAAGAAACAATAATTTGATGTGTTAGTAATAAATAGATATTATGAAAAAATTAATAAAAAAAGATATTTTTTAAAATAAATTAATATTAAATCGAGAACTATGACACTAGTCAAGAGATTGAATAATTAGTTTTTGAAAAAAAAATTAATTAATTTGTTTATTAAAACCAGAGGGACTAATATATAATTTATTTTAAAGAGTGTTTTGCATAGAAAAACCGAACATAGGAAAACCGAAGAGTGTTATACTAAAGTTCGCTTTTGGCTTCGACTGGATAGTCTTTTCATCAATCTTTGGAGATTCATTTTGGCATGTATGGCTAGAAAAATCATGGAAAATGCTAAGATATTAGGCAGAGGTGATCATCAATTCCAACCCGTTAATTAAAACCAATATCTATGTCTTTTTGTGATTTTAATCTTTATGCTTATGTTTTTTATCAAGTCTTTTGTGCCTTCTTGCACTATCCGAGGTTGTAATTGGTGGTTTTCCTTGATTTTGTTTCTTGGCATATGATTTGTGCTATGTGTGGGAGGGAAAGAAATATAGTATTCTGTGCAACTTTCCTCCAAATGAATAGAAAGTAACATGGGCAATGAAAAAAGAAAAATCTCCTATAAAAAAACTCTAAAATGAATTATGATGTAATTATATTAATTTTGTATTTTAATTTTATTGATTTTTATGAATTGTTTTTAAATATTTTTAAAGTTTTAATAGTCAAAATAAAGTGCTACTAGAGTACTAGATAGATTAGAAGTCGACTGCGAAAATTTATTTTATATTATTATAATTTTTTGTGGCATATAAATAAGAAAAAGATGGAAAATGAGATTCACCTAATTTTTTTGAAATCAATGAAAATTTATTGATTTTAGTATTTTTCCTTAATTAACCTTGGTGTGGATTTACATATTAGCATTCGGTCAGCCATGTTAGAATTGTATTAACGAATTTTTTAAAGGAGTTTGTGTTTTTATTATTGAGGATTATTATTATTTAATTATACGTAACTAATTAAGTTAAAATAATTTAGTCAAAAAAATGGCTTTCTCAGCTTATCTCCGGATCCCAGGCCAAACTCCACGGAGTAAATTATAAATCAGTCCTTTTAATTTTAAAAAATGAATTAAATAATTCTTTTGTTTTAAAAACTAATTAATCAATTATTTGACTAATGCTGATGATGATTGATTTGATAACACTTTGTTTCGAAAAATTTCTTATTTTTTCATAGTACTTTTAATATTTTTTTTACTTATATTTTTCTTTTTTCCATATAAAAAACGAAAAAGATTAAGTTTCAAATGTATTTTAAGATTTAAAGACTAATAATTTTTTTTAAAACTATAGGGACTATTTAATCCATTTCAAAAAATAGAGGGACTAATTTATAATTTAGTCAACGCCATGTCATCGAGGTTCTCAAACTAAAATTAGTCTTTAAAAAAAAGCATTTTAATTTTCTATATATGATGAAAACAATCCAACGGCGTGGAAAGCGCAAATCCATCATCATCAGTGGCTGGTGTTAAACGATACTCCGCTACCTATAATCGCGGAGTCATAACTGAGAAGCTTAGATATCATCGAGCGGAATCAAAATCAGACCATCACCTGTTCAAGTAAATTATAAATTAGATCTTATATTTTAAAAACAAATTATTTAATTTTTTATTTTATTTAATTATTATATTTTTTAAAGAAATTATTAATCCTTTCTATTTGTTTTTCAATTTATTTTATTTTTTTAAAAAAAAACATAAAAGAATTGATTAAAAAATATGATATTTTATAAGATGCATGTAAATCCATCGAAAATTTTATCATTTTTAATAAATTTTTTATTATAAATTATAAAAAATCATCAAGACATTAAATCACATTAAATAAAAATAAAAATTTATTAGTAATTTATAATAAAAAATTGATGAAAATAATAGTACATCTGATAGATTATGGATTTAGTAGTATTTTATTTTATAAAATTTAAATATTAAATTATTAAATAATTAGTTTTAGAAATAAGAAGGATTAATTAATTCATTTAAAAAAATAAAATGACTAATTTATAATTTACTCTCACCTGTTCCTGGTTTTTAATTTCTTCCCCTAACCTTCCCCATCTTCATTTCTACTACACTGTCATCTCTCTCTTTTGGAGCATCAGAGCATCAACAACAATGGCTGCCGCTGCTATGATTTCGAATTCTTTGATTCTGACGAGAAATCCTCAAGGAGTCCAGTTCTCTCAAGGTCAGTAATATTATTATTGTTTTTTTTTCAATTTCCTATTTCCTTACTGCATTCAATCTGCCAGAATTTGCTGCATCAATCGGTAATTAGGTTTATTTTTTGAGCTAGCTAGGTATTCTTAAGGCTTTGTTTGGCACATAACATTGGTAATGAAATAATTATTTATGTTAGGGTTGTCTTCTTCTTCTTCTATAAAGCCGTTGGACAAACGTGTCTTCGGTGTTGGTCTTGGAAAACTGCGAGTAACTAGCTCCAGAACTAGTGGAAGATCACTCACAGTTCAAGCTGCTGCTTATAGGTACCGTACCGTTGCTTTTTGATTGATTTTTTTTTCAATATTATTATATTTGAAATTGTTAAGGAAAAATGATTTTTTTTTATTTTTTTATTTTTTATTTTAATGCGAGTGTGGTGCTGTGTTTTTACAGTGATGACGGAAGGCCAAGCAATGCAAGCATTTTTGTTGGTGGATTTGTTTTGGGAGGACTTATAGTTGGTGCTCTTGGATGTGTATATGCACCTCAGGTCTTATTAATTTTCCCTGTTATTCTTATCTCTTCCGAATAATTGTGTGTGATACTTTGTGTATTTTTGTTAGCTCTAAGTTTGTCGATCGAAAGGATCAGATAAAATAACTTTTGGTTGTAGAATAGTTGAAGAGAAGTTGCACTGCCTTATCTTGATTTCATCATGATCAGTATCAACTCCAGAACTTCTGTTATTTTACAATTTATTTTTAAAAAAGCAAGTGAGTCTTGGTTTCTTATGCTTCTTATAGATCAGCAAGGCATTAGCTGGCACTGACCGGAAGGATCTTATGAGGAAGCTGCCCAAATTCATCTATGATGAAGAAAAAGCTCTGGAGGTGTGCTTTTGCTCTTGATTCTTTCTGTATGTTATCAGTTCTTGGCATTTTAGATTGGCTCTTGCTTTTATGATTTTTTAATTGTTTCTGTGGCTTTTTCCTATCTCCTTTTCTTTCTTTATTAACGATCTTTGTAATCCGGATTCATTTCCTATTTACCGTTCAAGTTGTTGCTACTCTATGAAAGCATTTGTTGAGCATTGTTTCGCAATATTTACTGTTCAGCTCATTGCTGCTCTTTGAAAGCATTTTGTTGATCCTCGTCCTGAAGTAGTTATGAAGTTTATTCTTTAGGAGCTTGATTCCTTGCCACCATCACAGGAGTAGGGTTGCATGCATGACATTTTACAATCAGCTTAATGACTAGCAATGTTTGTATTATCTTGATTCTCAGAAAACACGAAAAATATTAGCGGCGAAGATTGAACAGCTGAACTCGGCCATTGATGATGTTTCCGCCCAACTCCGACCAGAAGATGCTCCAAATGGCGCCAGTGTGCATTCTGAAGCTGCCAAATGAGCTAGCCTCTGTCCCATAGCAGTCTACTGGGTCTCCACTACCCGAAATTCCCATACTGATAAATAATAGTAGTTGAACTGATCTTAATTTTTTTTTCTCTGCTTTTCAATGAACAGTTCGACTGCGGTGGCTCCTAGTGTGGGTACACATAATTTTGCCTTGTATGTTCTGTTGTATTTTGATGATCCAGTATTGTACTCGAGTTATATACAGTAACCAGCTGTTATGATTTCCACATATGAAGAGCTTTTTTTTTTTTTTTTTACTACATTCGTGCTGCTATAACTAGAACTCCAATGCATAGTTCCAAATAAGAGCCTTTACGTTACTGTTATTTAACAAATTCAGGCATTCTGTTATACGGCGGTGAAGAGAGCCCAAAGGTGTTTCACCAAACTACAGCAATAACTACGATATATAACGATAACAGTCACTATTGCCATTATTTGGTGAATTACAGCTCAAATAACTGCTGTTATATTGTTGTTCAAACAAAAAGTATTTTCGGGTTTTTGATTTAGAAAAATTTTATTAACAGTTGTTAATACGTTTATGTTTGTCATAACTGTTATTTCATTACTGTGACCTGCGATCACCACCGTGGTTGTTTTGACAAATGCATCAATGAGTCATAACTGTGCTCCAAATGTTGCGTGCCTAGGCAAACTATGGGTCACGGTGGATTCTCTATCCTTATCGTTAAGCCAAATTCCTTGTGGCTTGGCGAACTTCCATGGAAAGGCTTGATAGTTGACATGTTCTTTGGGAAAATTATATTCAGAGCTTCTGAGAATTTGGTCACTCCTCATATGATGCGAAGCCTGCATGATTTAAATTCAGACCGGGAGTCGTCAAATATGAAAACAGAGGAAAATTAATCTGCCCTCTGAAGTGCTTTCCTCAGTCCTCTTTTCTTGTCGCAGGCTGCATTGTCATAGTTTTAAATTACGGACAGTGGAAAAACAGTCGTGGTGGCTATCGCAGATCGTGATTTCCTATAATACTAAAATAACGATAATAGAATATTTCAAAATTATCACATAACGGTCATTATATAACGTAACGACGTTATTTAAAACTATGGGCATTGTCATTTTTTTCTTCCTTACTGACCTGAATTGACATAGATATTTTGTATTTTTCCAGTGTTCTCCACCATGTACAATGGCTTTCCCTATTAACCAGAAAAAAACCCAGCAAAAATCAACTGGATAGGAGTCTAAATGTGGGCCTTTTCTCCTCTTCATGTGGGGCACGAGGTACAAAAACTGCGTATCTCCTTCAGCAAATTAGTGGCAATTAAGGGGTCTGTGATTTTGCAACAGAGAAGAGGGCATTCAAGAAAATACAAAAAGGCTGCACAATCTGTGGTTCAGATTCTCGTATTACGAGCTCGAACATCATCTTATCCCATACATCCTCATGTACCCTTCTCACCACTCGTTCTTTCAACCAAATTAGAACCATAATTTAAAAAATATTAATGAAATGTAAATTGAGAATACTTGATGAAACGAATGGAACTATATAAATATAGTCAAGAGGTTGGTCTCTTTAGCTTTAGTTGCAGCCATGGCCACCCACGCAGCTCTTGCCCCTTCAAGAATCCCAGCCAATACCAGACTTCCCTCCAAGATCAACCACTCTTTCCCTACTCAATGCTCCTCGAAGGTTTCGCTTTCTTTCTATGCTTTTATATACACAAAGCACCCTAGCAATTGCTCTATGTTGCTCTCTTGTGTGTGATATTTTGAATTTACTTGGATATGCAGAGGCTAGAAGTGGCAGAGTTTTCTGGGCTTAGAGCCAGTTCATGTTTAACCTACGCCAAGAACGCTAGTGAGGGATCCTTCTTTGATGTGGTGGCTTCCCAACTTGCTCCCAAGGTTACCATAATTATATTTTGCTTGAGCAATATGCTGTTCCATCTAACAAATTTTCAGAATAATTGTATAATTGTGCATGCAATTGGAATTATATTATATTTGGTACTTTTATAGCTTGGTGCACGTGTAGATAATATACCTCCAGCTTAGATTAATTGTGTACTGGTTATTTTCGCTAAAATTAGGTTGCAGTATCAACTCCTGTTAGGGCAGAAACTGTGGCCAAATTAAAAGTGGCTATCAATGGATTTGGACGCATTGGCAGGAACTTCCTGCGATGCTGGCATGGTCGCAAAGACTCGCCCCTTGACGTGATTGTTGTCAATGACAGTGGTGGTGTCAAGAACGTAAGCAAAAACTACTATTAATCTTAATTGTCTACGTTTTGGAGAATTAACTTATCATTAACTAAATGAGAAATCAACTAATCAAGAATGTTATGCAACAAACAGGCTTCCCACTTATTGAAATATGATTCTATGCTTGGAACTTTCAAAGCAGAGGTGAAAATTGTGGACAACGAGACCATCAGTGTGGATGGCAAGCCCATTAAAGTTGTTTCCAGCAGAGACCCTCTTAAGCTTCCTTGGGCAGAGCTCGGAATAGACATCGTTATTGAGGTAAGCTGTGCTTCTCTCCCTTCTGAAGTGGACTTTGTCAGTTTTGTAGCAATTCTTTGTAAGATAATCGTATCGTCTGACCGAATTGTGCAGGGAACAGGAGTTTTTGTGGACGGTCCTGGTGCTGGGAAACATATTCAAGCTGGTGCCAAGAAAGTTATCATCACTGCTCCAGCCAAAGGTGCTGATATTCCAACCTACGTTGTCGGTGTTAATGAAAAGGACTACGACCATGAGGTTGCCAACATTGTGAGGTTGGTATTTTTAAATAATTCTGCACAGGAAAAGCAAGTATGAATGGCTGTTCTTGATCATTCATTTTATTGCATATAATGCTTACAAATTGTAAGCCGATAAAATTCTGCTGTTTGCAGTAATGCTTCTTGCACCACAAATTGTCTGGCTCCTTTTGTGAAAGTCATGGACGAGGAATTCGGTATGAAATCGTTCATAATCAGTATCGAAAAATTTAGATGCATATGAGGGAAAGGTGAGTAATTGTGTTATTATTTTGGCAGGCATTGTCAAGGGAACAATGACGACCACTCACTCCTACACTGGAGATCAGGTAACCATTAAAACTTCAGGACTCTGCTGATATATATAGTGATATAACCTGTTTCATTTGACATTGTAACTATGAAAGATTAATCACTTCAACAATAGAAAATTGAATTATTTTGTGGGCTATCCAGAGGCTCTTGGATGCTTCACACCGTGACCTGAGGAGAGCCAGGGCTGCAGCATTGAACATAGTCCCAACAAGCACCGGTGCAGCCAAGGCTGTGTCTCTAGTGCTGCCTCAGCTCAAGGGAAAGCTCAATGGCATTGCCCTCCGGGTCCCGACACCTAATGTTTCAGTTGTTGACCTAGTTGTGAATGTTGAGAAGAAGGGCATGACAGCAGAAGATGTCAATGCAGCCTTCAGAAAGGCAGCTGCTGGACCATTGAAAGGCGTATTGGACGTCTGCGATGTTCCTCTTGTGTCTGTCGACTTCCGGTGCTCTGATGTCTCTTCGACCATCGACTCTTCACTGACCATGGTCATGGGAGATGATATGGTCAAGGTTGTCGCCTGGTACGACAACGAATGGGGATACAGGTCAGGATCCTAAACTAACTTGATGCTCACATAACTTCCATTTGGCTTGAAGTTGCAGGCAATTAAGCATAGAGTCCTGTATCCAGCTTGCCTAGAACAGAACATATATCAACATTTGGATCCTTTATAACCTAACTATGATGAAATGATTTCTGTTTTCAGCCAAAGAGTTGTTGATTTAGCACATCTTGTAGCCATCAAGTGGCCAGGTGTGGCTGCAGCAGGAAGTGGAGACCCATTGGAGGACTTCTGCAAGACAAATCCAGCTGATGAGGAATGCAAAGTTTATGAAGCTTAGATCATTGCTATTTACTTTTTTTTTTCTCTTTTGTATTAACCAAATGGTCATCTTGTTATGAAATCCCATAAAGAGGAACACATTTGTCAAATATTAGTATGTTAATGCAATTCAAATTTGAAGCTTCCCTTCAAACATAATGCGCTTGTCATCATGAACTATACAGGTTCAAGAACAAAGGAAACAAACCACACATGCATGGCAGATTAAGCAGCCCAAATTCCTTTGGATAATCACTATCTAATTGTCCCAAATATGCATTTACTTACTTCTCCTTGTCAGAAGATCATTACCTGCATGATCTGGGGTAAAGTATAAATTAGGCTCTCTAGTTTTGAGATAATTAGTCTCTTTTTCAAAAACTAACTATTTAGTCCTTTTTAGCCATTTTATGTCCTTTTTTATAAAAACAAATTATAAAATATAAATATAGATATTATGAAAAGATTGACGAGAAAAAAATATTTTTTAGGCTAAAATAATATTAAATTAAGTATGACAATACTGATCAAGAAATTAAATAATTAATTTTTAAAATAAAAGGGATTAACTAATTCATTTATCAAAACTACAGGGATTAATTAATAATTTACTCGCATGATCTCTGAGGGAGGGCAATAGTGCTTATTACCATTTTCTCTCCCGACCCTTATCTTTGCAAGTCATGCTGACATATAACATGTGACGATAGAACGGCCAATAGTATTCGTATATGCAGATTGAATTTTCCTTCCCGAGTGGTATTTTCAGAGTAAATTATAAATTACTCCTTCTATTTTTTAAAATGAATTGAATAATCACTTTAGTTTTAAAAACTAAATAAATCAGTCCTTCAAATGTTTATATCTATTTGTAACTTAATCATTTTTGTTATTTTTCAATTTATTTTGATTTTTTCTTTAAAAAAAAGGAAAAATTTGATAAAAAATAACAAATTTCTTAAAAAAAAATCATATTAAATTAATCATGATCGCCATTATCAAGAGATTAACTAATTAGTTTTTCAAACAGAATAAACTATTTAATTTGTTTGCAAAACTTCATTTTGAAAAACTAAAGAGTCTAATTTATAATTTACTTTGTATTTTTATTATATTTTTATTTTTTATTCATGGGTTACATTTTTTTATCACATTAAAGATTTGATATTGTGTCTGATTTTTTTTTGTCAAGAATATATATATTGGATGATTTTTATACTCTTTTTGTGTGTGAATATATATTTCTTGATAAATTACATAATTTTCTCTATAGCGGATACATTTAAAAGATAATATATGTTTTTTTTCAAAAAATACCATATATATTAAAGATTATTTGTTAGTATTTGGAAAAAAAGAGGCTAAATTAATACCTGAGATTAATAAATATAATATATTTATTATGCAGTTTCTCTAGTTTCATATCATTATGTAACTTCACTTATGTTTTTCAGCGTAAATTATAAATTATTCTTTCTAGTTTTGCAAAATAAATTAAATAATTTTTAGTTTAAAAAATAAAGTAGTTTTTTTTTATCAATATTGATTTTGATTAATTTAATATTATTTTTTAAAAAAAATATATATTTTTTATTAATATTTTCATTTTTTTACTTAATTTTTTATATTTATTAAAAATTTAAAAAAAATAAATAAATTGAAAAAAATGAAAAAGATAGATTTAAAAATATAGGACCTAATTAATTAGTCATTAAAATTAAACGACACTAGAGGGACTAATTTATAATTTGCTCATGTTGCTCAATTCCCCTTACATGACAGTGGATTTCTGTCCAATTCAGGATTCAGTGATAAGAACATTAGCAAATCAACTTTTGCCACACCACCAGCCTCCAATTTCAACATGACAGTTTGCACCAATCACATAACTCATGTTCACTATAACCTGGTAGTCCTCTCTACACATAATAATTACTCCTAGCGCCAACAATAAATAATTACAAATCCTGGCAGCCGCGTAACGGAGTAAAAATTAAATCATCCGACCCAGCTGCCCTTCTCTCTCCACAATTTCTAAAAATAAAAAAATAAAAAATTCCCAAATCACAAAAACCCTAAAAAATTCCCAATTCGCGAGCGAAGAATCGAATTCGAAAATCCCAAATGAGCGATGAAGCGCTCTTTGATACTTCTTCTACTGATAATTCTGATCTTATCGCCACTGATCTCTCAATTTTGCCTCTCTGATCAGAGCAATCAGGTCACCAAGCTATTCGGCCCTCTACTGCCGCCAAAACCGTAAGCAAATATCAGATCTCTTGGATTTTACGTTAATTTTTTAAAAAAATTTTTTATTAAAATTTATTTAATTTTGATGTAGCAGTCAACAGGATGTAGCAATAGTGGCTGCTCTGGATGGGACGGTGCATTTGGTGGATACTAATTTAAGGAAAATCCGGTGGTCTTTTCCGACTGGTTCGCCTATTTATTCTTCTTATCAAGCTACAGTTAGCAATGATGATGACAGGCATAATGGTTCTGAGCTTAGTAAAGACATGTATTATATTGATTGTGGAGATGATTGGGAACTTTACGTGCATAGCCAGCGCTTTGGAAAATTGGTATGCAGACCTTGTTATAGTTGTTTGATGCTTTAAGCTTTATTTTTTGGAAGATTTAGTTTGCTAGTTGTTAACTATGATGGGTTTTTAATAGAAAGATTTGAACGTTTGCTGAGTGGTCTGTTGCTTTTCTAAATGAATGGTTTTGCTACTTAAATTGTTGTAACTGTTTTTTGTGCAGCGAAAACTCTCATTAAGTGCTGATGAGTATGTTAAAATGACGCCACATATATCGGAGGATGGAGAAATTACATTGGGGTTGAAAAAGACTACCGCTTTTCTTGTTGATGCAAAAACTGGAAGGGTTGTTCGCACGTATAAGTTTGATCATCCTGCTTCGAAGGTAGGGGTTCATGTTTCTGAAGGGACTGCTGTTATGTTGTCGAAAGATGCTGGAGAATTGGTAGAATCTGGTGATGTTGATTTGGGAACATTAAAGCATCTGGTTTACATCACAAGGACAGACTATGTGCTGCAACACCATTCTCCAAACTCTACTGAGATATTATGGAATGTGGCATTTGCAGATATTGAGGCTGAATTTCGGTGTCAGGGGATTCAGAGTTCTTTTGATGGGGTGTCTCTGAATGCCAATGAAGACATGGATGAGATTGAGTGGCAATTGCCTTGTCAGATGAAGACAGTGGCCCTCCGAATTCGTGACAACAGTATGCTTGAATTTGATTTACTAGCAATTTCTCATCTACAAGGTGGAGCTAACTTTCTTCCTGTTCCAGATAACAAACCTCCTTTTGGACATGTTCCTAGATTTCAGCCGGCTCTTCCCACCAGTGGAGACATACCTATGCTTGCGTTGCCCTCATCTGAGGCCAAAAACCCTGGGATATTGGCTCCTTTTAGTGGAAACAGTGGTACAGTGAATACCATAAGCCCATCTTCCGAAATTATAGGGAAGTCTCATGTGTGGGCTATTATTACAGCTGTTTTGTCAATTATGGGGTTCATCTTTCACCAATATTTAGCATCCAGAAAACAAGGCAAGTTGAATAAACCGATCGAGGAACTTCAAACCCATTCTGGGATGCCAAAAAAGAAGAAAAATCGGAGATCAGGAAGCAACAAGAACAATCCCAGTAATGAGAAAATGCAGAAATATGGGTCTCTTCAGAGTAAGGTTGGAGAAACCAATGGACTTTTGCCTGTTGAAGAAAATGAAAGGAAGTTGTTATTGACTTTTACTGATCATGTTGATGGTCAAGTAGATGGTCGTAGGATTGGCAAGTTGTTAGTTTCGAACAAAGAAATTGCTAAGGGGAGTAATGGTACGATTGTGCTTGAGGGAATTTATGATGGGCGTCATGTCGCTGTTAAGCGCCTGGTGCAAACCCATCATGATGTGGCTTTGAAAGAGATTCAGAACCTTATTGCCTCTGATCAGCATCCAAATATTGTTAGATGGTATGGGGTGGAGTATGATCAAGATTTTGTTTATCTTGCATTGGAACGCTGCACCTGCAGCTTAAATGACTTCATTTATGTTAATTCTGAATCCTTCCAAAGTCAAATACTATCCAAGGATATAGACTCTAACCGCTTGTCTGAGTATATGGTTCGATTGCATTCAATGCTGGAACATAACAGAAATGTTGAATTGTGGAAGGCCAATGGCTATCCTTCGGTACAATTGTTAAAATTAATGAGGTCAGTTAATATTCCCTTTCTTGTTTTCTAGCAATCCATACGTAAGCATTTAAAGTGGTGATTGATTTGAGGGTTATAATATGTCATTCATGTTTGTACCCTCTAGAACAGTAATTGAAGAATAAAGGTTTTTCCCTATATGGATAGGGCATAGGCTACTTTATTCTTTGCAGACTACTACTGTTCAGGGCTTAAAGAAAATGTATAATCTGCACTATGATAATGTTTTGTTTTAGACATTCTAAATTGGTTCAGAGATAAGAATTTTGGACTTCTTGAATAACGCCCCCCTTTTCATGGAAGGAAAAAAGAAACACCATTAGCACTTTATAATACATGGCATTACTGTCCCTGCTCTTGAATCAGCTAAAACAATAAGTTACTGAAGAAACTGGATGAAGCTTGAAGAACTCTTTATTTCTGCAGGGATGTGGTTTCTGGACTTGCCCATTTGCATGAACTTGGAATTGTACATCGGGACTTAAAGCCTCAGAATGTTTTGATTATTGGTGAGAAATCTTTTTGTGCAAAGCTGTCAGATATGGGCATTAGCAAGCACCTACTTGGGGACATGTCTTCCTTGACCCAGCATCCAACGGGTAAGCGTGCCAGTTATTTGTTAATCTATCTGAATAATTATCACTTTTCATGGACTCATAGCTGCTTCACCTACTCTCTCTGTTTGCCTGCATGTTCTAATTATGCAGGCAGGCAGGCTTAGCTCTATATTGTTCCCTTAGTTCTCTGTGTTCTCACCAATTGTAGGTTATGGGAGCTCAGGCTGGCAAGCACCTGAACAACTACTGCATGGACGCCAAACACGTGCATTAGACTTGTTTAGTTTAGGCTGTGTTCTATTTTTCTGTATAACGGGGGGTAAGCACCCGTTTGGTGATAGTATAGAACGTGATGTCAATATTGTCAATGATCGGAAGGACCTATTCTTAGTAGACAATATACCAGAAGCTCTGGATCTTTTCACCTGTCTCTTGGATCCTGACCCAGATAAGAGGTAAGACAGTTAATCTGAAGAGAGTTTTTATGGTCCTTCAATTATTTGTTTATTTGAAATCTGAAAATTGAAAAGAGTACTATATTCTAACACATTCTGCTCAAGCCTTGCTGTCTGAATGATAATAGCAGTTAGTATTATTTTCACGTTATAACGCATTCCTTGTATATGTTGTAGGCCAAAAGCCAAACAGGTTTTGAATCACCCCCTGTTCTGGACTTCTGAGAAAAGGCTCTCATTTCTCCAGGATGTTAGTGATCGAGTGGAGCTGGAAGATAGAGAGAGTAAATCAGAACTCTTGGATACATTAGAAAGTACTGCAACAGTGGCATTGAATGGGAAATGGGATGAAAAGATGGAAGCTGCATTTATTAACAACATCGGCCGCTACAGGCGTTACAAGTTTGACTCTATTCGTGATCTATTGCGAGTCATACGCAACAAGTCACATCACTATAGGGAACTCCCTCAAGAGATTAAGGAATTACTAGGGTCACATCCAGAAGGATTTGAGAGCTATTTTTCATCTCGATTTCCAAAACTCTTGATTGAAGTCTATAAAGTGATTTTCCAGCATTGCAAAGAGGAGGAATTTTTTCGTAAATACATAGAGAGCAATATAATCTAGCGAACAACTTCCGTCACCTGTAGTCTGCCTTCTCCTAACAGAATAGCTATAGGTTTTGTAGATAGAAACTGTACCATATTCCAACCTGTTGTACACATCAATTGTTTGTAACATCTTTTAGTCGAATTTCTGTGCCATTGAAGTGGCACAATTTGGCTCCAATGTAAGGAAATGATGCCTATAATTTGAGCAGTCCAGTCCTTGATGGTTGTCTTGCTCGGTTCATCATGTAAGTGCAATTATTTGCCATTTTGTCAAATTTTGAAAATTCACACTGCTATAGCCTGCAGGGTCCCATTTCTTTCAAACGATGGTGGACGGTTTTTCAAACTCGCCATATCTTCTCTATCTGCACTCTGGCAACAACAGGCTACCACATTTTCCACTGGGGACACTAGGCTAATCGAGTATTATCATGCAAAAGTTTGCTCCTACATGTATACTGTAGAAAAGGTAATGGCATGTGCAGAGCTGACACATCCGTCTTCAAAGATGAGGCAACTTTTGTGTTCAGATCAGAATTTTGGCTAGGGGTTTATGACCATAATTCTTCGTTTCCTACTAAACAGCTATTTTTCTAACCTTCTTTGGTTTAGATTCACCAACCCCAATCCACTGCATAAAAGAAAATCTTTGAATAAGCCAAATTTGGGTGCAGAAATCTAACCATTCACGAGGGTATAAAGATTCGAAACTTCAGTTTTATTTTACATGGGATGGGAGAACTAAACGCGAGACCAAGCAGTGCGTGATACTGCTTGCCGTGTCATAAAAATGTGAGCCAAATAATTCAAGATATGCGTTTAACTTCAGTTACAGTTGGATCCCAACGAAACCCTACAAATTTTATCCCATCATTTGCCACCCAGCACGAGTGGCCCACTCATAATCACCTTTTGATCTGGAGTTTGAATTTTTTGCATTTCACCGTTTCCTAGTCCCAGATTTCCCCAAATTCGGGCAAGTAAAGGAGTTGATCCATTATTCCATATCGTACATTGGTAGGGCAAGAAATTCTAGGAAAGGCCAGTGTCATTTTCCATCAGAAATGGGTACATAAACCCTCTATAATAGCAAAATTCTCTCACTAGCTAACAGCCAAGTAACCCAGTTGAACTAAAATGGCAATTACCTCTGTCCTTGCCCTTCTTCTCCTTGCAACTCTCAGCCCATTTTCAAACGTTTCTGCTGTTGGTGTAAACTACGGTACGATTGGAAACAACTTGCCATCGCCGAAAAAAGTAGCGCAGCTTCTTCAATCCACGCTCATAGACAAGGTCAAAATCTATGACACAAACCCTGAAATCCTAGAGGCATTTTCCAACACAGGAATTGACCTCATCGTTGCAGTGGAAAACTACCATGTGGCAAACATCAGCACTGACACCTCAGCTGCCGATGAATGGTTCTCCGATCGTGTGATGCCCTTTATTCCTGCCACTTCCATTGTGGCCATTGCTGTTGGTAATGAGTATCTAACAACAGATCCCGATCACTTGAAGCCAAATGCACTTGTACAAGCAATGCAAAACTTGCATGCTGTTTTAGTACAACGTGGACTTGATCGAAAAATTAAGGTGACAACACCACATAGTATGGCAGTTCTTGCTTCTTCATTCCCTCCTTCAGCTTCAACTTTTGCTACTACGCTTATGCCTGTTATGACCTCAATAGTAGGCTTTTTGGCTGACACAGGTGCCCCTTTTATGGTCAATGCTTACCCTTATTTTGCTTATAGGGATAACCCTGGTACGGTTGACCTTGAATATGCCTTGCTAGGGAATGCTACAGGGGTCCATGACCCTAAAGGGTATGTGTACCACAATATGTTAGATGCACAAGTTGATGCTGTTAGATCAGCTGTTGTTGCATTAGGGTTTGGTAATCGGACGGTTAAGATCACCATATCAGAATCCGGGTGGCCATCAAAGGGTGAATCAGGCGACACTGCTGCCACACCTGATCATGCAAAGACTTATAACACTAGGTTGGTTGAACGAGCACAGTCTAGCAAGGGGACACCAATGAGTCCTAAGGAAAGCATAGAGATATTTGTGTTTGCTTTGTTTAACGAGAACAAAAAAGAGGGAGGTGTCAGTGAGAGGAATTTTGGGATTTTTAATGGGGACGGATCTAAAGTGTATGATCTGGATTTGAGCTGCCAGTTTTGTAGTGGCAATGGAGGGACATTAGGGTTTGGTGAGAAAATGTCAAGCGGTTTAAGGGGTCCTTCGGTTTGGTGTGTGGCTAAACCTCATGCTGACGAGAAGGTGCTTCAAGCTGTGCTAGATTTTTCCTGTGGACCAGGTGGTGTAGATTGCAGAGAGATTTATGAAAGTGGTGCTTGTTTTGTCCCAGATAAGCTTCATGCTCATGCTTCATATGCCATGAATGCTTATTACCAAATGCATGGAAGAAACTACTGGAATTGTGACTTCAAGGGCACTGGCCTTGTTACTTTCAGCGATCCAAGTACGTTCACAAATCTTTCCTTCTCATTTTTACTTCAAAAGGGCTTTTCAATTGGGTTTAATCCTTTGTTTTTCTGTCTATGATTCGATTAGGTTATGGGACATGCCGGTATTCACAGCAATGACTGATGAATCGCAAGGAATGGAAGCAGCTAGCCCTGATGAGGTTTTTTGGCAACTCCTTTTGTACAAGTATTGTGAAATATGTAATTGCCTTGGTTACTGCTAAAACTTTATAAAATTAATTTCTTGGTTGTTGATCTTGATGGATGGATCAATTGATGGATTTGTTTGAATATTTTGTTGCTCTGTCTGAGAAAATTAAAGGCATTAAAAGTGTCTTTTTTTCCTGAAGAGAATAAAACAAGCACATGGTGGCAGGGTCTTATGTCTCCGTAATCTAAGGCTTTTTACCTGTTTTGGGCCAAAAAAACAGAAAAAGTTGTCTCTCTTTCTTGTGGAGAGAATCTCGATCGTCTACGCCTTTCTCTCGTTTCCTACTTTCAAAAATTGGGGCCATTGTAGGGCTTATCTACGTCTTCTCTTTTTTGTTTAGTTGTTTGCTTCCGGCCGGTGTTCTCATAACTTCAGGTGACAGCTTTACGTTAAATAATGTATATGGGTGCGTTTGTTCTTGCTATACGATATTATAAAGAATTTAATAATATTTCATTTAAATTAATGATAATTATTGTTATTTGATGAATAACGGTCATATATTATTTTTTGGTTCAAAGTAAATTTATTAATATATGTTAATATATTGTTACGGTAAATAACAGATTTAGATATATTTGTTTTAGTTATACGATAATATAAGAAATCAAGAATGTTTCACTCAAATAATGGCAATGATAGTTGTTATTGTATTTATTTGGTGAATGCCGTTATATTATTGTTTTTAAAAAATAAATCTTTAATTTTTTATCTTAGAATAAATTTATTAATATATTTATAATATTGATTGTTGTAATTGACGTAATCATTATTTTACCATTTTTAATAAATTGCAATCCATAATTACGACTTTAACTATTTTTGCAATGGTTTAGTGATAAATCTTGTTTCCATTCTATTGCAATTTAATAATTTCGAACTCATATAATTAAATTGCATCATTTGAATTTTAAAGTATTGAAGATTGAATAAATATGATTCAAATTGCTCAATCTTCATTATTTGCAACGATAACCCAATTGATCGTTACTTGAAATGTCAAACTTACGTCGTTTTGACATTTCGCCGTTAATTATGTTTTGTTTTTTTTAAAAAAAATGAAAATATTTTAACTCCCTAATCTTGAATGTTTTTTTAAACTTTTTTCTTATAGAATATTATAAACATTTTATAAATATTTTTAACCACCTAATTTAAAATTTTTTTTAATATAATTTATAAAATTAACGAGTCAACCCTTAATTATGTTCATTTTAATTTATAAAATATTTTTTTAGGTCTGAAATTATGTATTGTTAATTTTTTTTTTACAATAATATTTTATAAAAAAAGTTCAAAATTAAGATGTTAAAAACATTTATAAAATGTTTATAATATCTTATAAAAAAATTCAAAATTATGAAGGTTAAAAATATTTTTAAAATATATATTTTTAAAAAAATAATTAACAACGACATGTCAAAACGATATCATTTTGATATTCTAAATAACAATCAACTCAATTAATCATTATATATAGTAAAAATTAAACAATTTAGATCACTTTTACTCAATTTTTAATATTTTAATATTATTAAAAATATGTAATTTAATATTATAAGTCTGGAATTACCAAATTGGATAAAATTCGACATCAAACCTTTTTACGACCACATCACAATTTAATACTATGCTACATCAACCAATGGTGGGCTGCAGAGAAGATTCGTGGTGTAGTCATTTGAAATGAAGCCAACCAATTCGATCGATATCGGAGTTGCTTTCACTCTACCAATGGAAAATGTAACCATAAAAGTGCGGAGAAAAGAGGTTTTTTTTGTATTGAAAGAGTAAAAGACAGGGCATTTCGCTACTATGATTTAATTTAAAGGCTAATTAATCAAGAAAGTTTCTATTTAATTAGAATGCAATACATTTTTAACATTATCTCATAATATTTTCTCCTTCAAAAGCAATAGGAAACCAACTTGATTAAATTAATGACGATGCTTCCTGTATGTTATTGATTCATAAAGTTCCATGTCAATTATTAATTAAGCAAATAAATAATAATAATAATAATAAAACAAACATTTGAGGAGAACCAGAATAATTATGTTGGGTATTTATTTTCTCTTTTAAAAATAGCTATTATGGTAAAGGGATATGAATATAAGCATGGAATATGGCAAACGACACACTTCTATGAAAACATGCACAGATTTTTTGTTTACGCTTTTTGCAAACTAATATATAATATGTTGGTAATCTGCTGAAACATACGAGTTTCTTCTAAGCATGAAAGTTCAACAACCAGGATTCATGGCTTAAACAGGTGTAAGTTATTGTCAAATGAAATGAGAAGACAAAGGTAAAGCATAGAGAGAACTCAGCCAACATATTATCTTGATCCGTGAACATGAAACTTAAAACATTTCCTTCACTTTATGATTTTGATACCGGATTCTGGGATAGAAATGAACAATTTGGCATCTATGTACAATCAGCAAATTTCAGCGAAACTGATCGATGTACTGATGTTGAATTGAAGGAGATAGATAACATTCTGAAAAAAAAAAGCTCAAACAATTGAAGCATTATGTTGTTCATGCTCATGGAATCAAAATCTGTACAGCTACATGAATATTGAACACTTTGTTTCCAAGTCCACCTCAAACTTAGACCAACAGTGTTGTTTTTCTTTTCTTTGTAATTCTAAATAAAAAAGAGATTAGTTACGCTAATACAAATTCATACAACAGTAACGGTGTATGACACCGTCATTTGTGTGAAACGACATTGTGCTTCCTATAATGGTAACGGGCATATGTCCTAATCCTTTAAATAACGGCCGTTATATTATATAATAGCCGTTATTTGGAACTATGATTTGTTCAATTGATAATTTGTGAGTTTTAATCTTTAAGAAATCCAACAATTTGATTTGAAAATTTCCCAAATCAATCAAGCTTATTTGTGAACATTCCTATGTACAAGAAAAATTGCAAATTCTGAACAAGAAAGAAAATAACTTTGATTTTATACTATCTCCAATATTCACACTGTGATCGTAATGGAAAACTAACATCCCTTTTTTGGGATTTTTTTTTTTTCAAAGAAGAAAAAAAGCTTTCAAGCTATAAATTACTATTCCAAAAAGAGAAAAATGTTGATTGATAAGCTTACTTGTTTAAGTTGACGTAGTTCCAGTCGTCCTTTCTGTTTCTTTCAACTTGGGATTTCTCCCTAACTCACAGTCCCGATCATTCTCAGATAATGATCTTTCCAACTTCCTTCTTTTATTTGTGCTCTTTTTTTGGTCGCTTTTCTCATCCATTAATGAGAACAGTCTATGAATACGCCCAGAACGCGCGGAACCTTGACCAGGAGAAGCGGATTCTAAAGGGGCAGCACGATATAACTGGCGCGCAATCTGGAAAAAGTATATGAGGAGGGAAATGAAGCAAGCTACACCACAAATGAGAAAGAGGCCCCAAAAGCTCTGGAGGTGAAGTCTATCGGATTCAAGCTCAGTAGTCTCTGAACTGCACGTGCTTTGCATCAGCCACTTGTCATGGATCCGTTGGAGATCCCCATTCTCTGATAGTGCTAGAATTGCAGTTGACATATCCAACGCTAAGGGAGAGTCTCTTGGAAAAGCCTGGTTTATTGCAAACACAAATGAGCAGAGGAAAGAATCAGCACTGGAAACTAATCATTCCCTGGACAGGATGCTTATGTACAATGGTAAAATGTACTGCCATGGCATTCTATCTCAAGGGGTTCGGAATGATTACCTCATGCTTGCATAAAAAGATAGTTTTGAGGCTAATAATTGTTTGAAATAAGCCTATTAAAATGTCGATGCACTGTTTTGACAGATACTTTATGGAAATTGTATCTTTTTTTGTGAATCCACTCCGAATTGAGAACTTTTCATTCCTATCTATGCAACACAGGATCATGCCTTCTTTATTTAGATCTAATGCAGTAATGCTCAGCTTTTAGAGTGAAAAAAGAATGGATGAACCGGAAAGCAGGTACTCACAAAACCCCAGCCACTTTTCGTAAATTCTTGACCCACAATCCTGAATGTGCACTGCCTTGAGAGGAAAAGTTCCACATAAGGACGTTCATCAACAATTGCAGCAACACCCCCTTTTTTCCCAGGACCAAGTTGTAGTGCTCTAGCATATTCTTCGGGTGATCCCAGGGCAACAAGCCTAGACTTAGATATTCCAATTTCCTCAGTCAAATAATATTCAGCAAAAGAACCCACCTGGTATCCTACAGGTTCATCAGTTTCCTTCAAGCTTTCAATTCCTTTAATAGGAGAAGATAGTTGCTGCACCGTGAGAATTGAAGTCAAACTTGCAGTGTAGCTTGAGTTGATTATTAAGACCACAAAGAGCCATATAAGTAGCACAAACCGAGCAAGGGTGCTCATAGTGTTTTCTCCTGCAAAAGGTACAAGAAATCAACGCGATCAAATTAAAGATGATGCCTTATGGCCCAAGATAAGCATATAATCTGGGCAAGAATCTGATTTCCACTTACTATGAGCAAAAAATAGAGTTGAGAGGCTGAACCTGCAAGGATTAAGAAAGAAACGGATCAGACACTGATTGTTCTGAGTACTTGCAAGATGTTAGTTGGGATTAAATCATTATTGCATTGGTGATATAATGTCTGATGTCTGACCCTCGTATAACAAAGTAAGCTTTACTAAATGGTGCTTGAATTGCAAGAATGCAAGACCATAATTTTAGCAAAGCAGCATTCTACAGCAAGCAAATTACTTTCTACAATCAGAAACAGAAAGGAAACATTTATAGAATTGAGAAATGACAACATGCAACATGGATGAAAGAATGATACATTTAAAATTCACGGAACAGCCCTAAACAAAGTATGTGCCAAACAATATGAACTGAAGTTTGAAAGTTCCATGTCAAGTATTTAAGCAGAA